GTGCCACATGTAGCAAATAACCCAGGAGTAGTCATTGGAATGCGCATATCCTACAAGTCCTACTCACTGGGCTTGTAATGATCTCCCCGTCTCCTCCATGAAATATGCAATGAATTGTCACAATTCGATTAAATAATTCTGCATCTTTGCACGTTATGCTGTCTCCTTAAAACATGCCTCTCTGACTGTTCAGTTTTTTTGGTCAGTTAGCCTAAAGCAGTGGTTCCCACTGAGTGTGGTCTCCGCTCCACCACTGAGTGGTCTGCAGGGCTGTGATATCACCGCAGGTTGATCCAGACAACAATGACACTGTTGATCCCTTTTGTATCGGACATTAATTCATAGTTTTGATATTCAATGTAAAAATAAAGTTTGGGAAAACTACCCTGACTCAACTTCCGTAACCCTAACATCCAAATGCCCATCCCAAAAAAAACCGAACAGCTGCGTTTAAAAAAAGACATGTTTCTTATGTTCCGGTGTTATGAATCATTTAGTATGAGTGGTGTTTAGAGAGAGAAGTGAATGAGTTGTGTCACCAGGGGTGCGGGGGTGGCTGGGTGGTGATCCGCGAAAAAGTTTACATCGGCTGAGTGGTGCGGGGGCCACACAAGTTTGAGAAACACTGCGCTGAAGGAGGCATTACATTTATTTTGGATAGTCATCAAGTTGTAAATGCACGATTTGATGCACGTTTCTTGAGTGTGACGGTCATTAAATGCGTAAAGCTGCTGCAATGATGAATAATACAAATAAATACTTTCATGCTCACCAGATGCGCCCATTCGGCTGGCTGGGGGTGGCTCCTCGTGTCAAGGCCGAGTGGAGGTGTTCTACGGCGGCGCGTGGGGCACGGTGTGCGATGACATCTGGAATCTGCAGCACGCCCAGGTCGTGTGTCGCCAGCTGGACTGTGGCTCCGCTGTTGCTGCCTTGTCCTATGCTTACTTCGGACCGGGCTCTGGTCAGATCTGGCTCGACAATGTCCAGTGCTTTGGCGACGAGCCTGAGCTCTCCTCCTGTCAGCATCCTTCCTGGGGGTTTCACGACTGTGGGCATCAGGAGGATGCCTCTGTCATCTGCTCACAAGGTACATTCAATGTAACGTGCATGTGTAACACTTTGCCTAGATGCCCTGTAAATACATGTCCACGACGCTTCTATGTAGCCCAATGGAAAGGGTCAAAGGACTTCGAGAAGAGATAATGAGATGTACACAGTTAGACATGAACAGTCTGCCTCAGCATCAGACCATGTTTCCCACCTGATGACGGACGCTTGTGTTGTGCCCGAAACGTGATTTATTTTATGTTTCTACCGACGTGACTTTACCGAAAAAACTAAATAGTATGGATTCCTGCAGTCACGAAAGCTTCAAATCAAGATTGATCTTTAGTATCATCAATTTGCAGTTTGAGGAGCCACAAATCACAGTCCGAAGGAAGGTGAAAGGTCCCTTTATGCTCTTGTCCAACTCAAGTGTTGTGTTCTGTTTTTCACCTTTTTTCTGCATCATCGCGAGATGCGATTTAAGCACCGGGTGGCATCATGGGGGATACCGTCTACGCCAGGTGCAATGAGCGAGCCCTGCTGTGACGCTGGGATTGAATGCATTGCTCCTACTTGATAGTCAACTATTTCATCATGTGCAGTGGTTTGGTATGCGATGGGTGACTCTTCAGGCTTTGTGATGCTCATTAACAATGATACGGGAGCCCTGCTGATCACTGTGCTTTTGTCTGTTTCATGCCTTCACATTCATCGTCTACAGCTACTACTACCCTGCCATGTAAGTCATCACGCTCACACGTGACTCATAGCACCATGACCTGGTACCGGTAGCGCCACCGTTTAGGCCCAGCCTCATGAGCAGTGCCCCAAGCTTGGGATGTCATCTTCAGGGATTGAACTTCTTCCAAGTGAAGACGTGATCAGACACCTACGTTCTTCCGTCACCTGATACTGAGCTAAATGATACAGTAGTCATGTGACCTTGTACACGATAACAAAAACAAGCATACCTATGAATGACTCAGTGTGTAGACTATTCTCAGATATCCTGGTTATTATTGTTATAAAACTGAAATGTGTTCTTGCAGCAAGCAACCGAAAGGGTACACGGAACAAACACGTATAGATGACACGTACACTGTATATAGGTGAAAAATACGTGTGTAAATATTAATTTATTATTGCAAATTGATTGTAATTTTCATATATTTGTACTTTGTCTCTTTTCAAATAATTACGATCTGGTTCAGCTACATCTACTGGTAAGTAATAATTGTCAACATCACTATAATCTCTGTGCATGGTATGGGTCATTGTATAGAGACAACTCCTGTTAACGTACCACAAATTGGTCCCAATTATATGGACCTCAGATTATTGATCGGCAAAATTGTTCCTTGCTTGGGATTTACATTGCAACTTTCTGAGTCAAGCAATCTAGCCACTGTGTAATTCTGCAGGCTTATAAAGTTTGTATATTTATATATAGATTCTGTTGTCTCTGGTGTGGACCAATCAGTTTCAAAGACAGTGCATAAATTATCAGAGTATTGTTGTTTGTTTGCATTTGACTGCAAGTATTGTGGGTAATGTAAGCATGATTCATTGCAAAAGGTGTCAGTTTTGTTGCCAGAAAAAAGGGGAAAAACCCTATTAGTATATTTTGGTACTGGCAAAGGAGGTCCCATTATGTAGCTGCTCACCCCGAGCTCTCATTACTCTGGTAGTGCGTTGTCTTTGAACTGTGCGCCTTTTGGCTTCATCTGGTCGAAGACCATATGAGACGAGGCTCTAAAGAAAGCTGTCTCTGGTGTGGACCAATCAGTTTCAAAGACAATGCATAAATGATCAGAGTATTGTTTTTGTTTGCATTTGACTTCAAGTATTGTGGTTAATGTAAGCATGATTCCTTGCAAAAGGTATCAGTTTTGTTGATAGAAAAAAGGGGAAAAACCCTATTAGTATAATTACAGTATTGTAGGTTACACATTTTGCTCACAAAACTACTACGTAAATAATGTCCCTGTAATGGATGACACTGTATGGGACAGGAGGTCTGTATTACATATTTTCCAGTTTTGAGATACTCCATAATGATACAAGGACCATACTGATCACTGTGCTTTCGTCTGTTTCATGCCTTCACATTCATCATCTGCAGAATCTCCTGCCATCACATGTAAGTCCTCATGCACACACGTGACTCACAGCACCACGTGCTGGTACCGGCAGCGCCACCGTTTAGGCCCAGCCTCAAGAGCAGTGCCCCAAGCTTGGGATGTCATCTTCAGGGATTGAGTTTCTTGCAAGTGAAGACGTGATCTGACACCTACATTCTTCCCTCAACTGATATTGCCATAACAGCAAAAAACCCTTAAAAAATGTACTTAATAATACAGTAGTCATGTGGCCATGTACAGGATAAAAAACAAACATACATATAATTGACTCACAGAGTTTATATACTATTCTGAGAATATCCCGGCCATAGTTTTGGCAAAACTGGACCGTTTGCATGCAGGAGGCGACCAGAAGGGCACATTGATAAATCAAGAATAGATGACACTTGCACTGTATATATATAGGTGAAAAATACGTGTGTAAATATGAATTTATTATTGCAAAATGATTGTAATATTCATGTATTTGTACTTTGTCTCTTTTCAAATAATCTTGATCTGATTCAGCTACAACTCCTGGTAAGTAATAAAAGTCAACACAAACATCTCAGTGCATAATATGGGTCATTGTATAGAGAAAACAACAACTCGTGCTAACTGACCATGAATTGAGTCTAATTATATTGATCTCAGATTGATGACCAGTCGAATTGTTCCTTGCAAGGGATTTACCTTGCAACTTTCTGAGTCAAGCACTCTAGCCACTCCTGTTAGATTAGAGTTTGTTTATTTATATTCTGCTGTAAATACGACTGGGTAATTCAAGTATGAAGAACAACCCCTTGCTAGAAAATGTCCATCCCATTGATGAAAATGGGTTTGGTCTGTTTTAAATATTGATCATTTGGGGGAGCCCTTAGCAGTGCTGCTGCTAAGCCCTGACAATCGCTATCATCATCTCTGTGCGACAGTGGCTCATTAGCAGCATTCAGCTCATTAGCTTGTAACCATTGTGAAATCAACAAGCCTGACGTAGCAATTACAGTCGTGTACGTTATATATCTAGTTCACAACATTACAGCACAATGAATGGCCCTTGTATATCATGACACTGTTTTGGACAGGTGGTCTGTATTACATATTTAGTGGTATCGTTGGATGTCACTACGCAGTGCCGGCCTTAGAGAGGCACGGCGTGCGGTGTAACGACATCGCGGACACCACGTGGTGTGGGTGCAGTACCGGCCCTAGAGGGGCTCGGTGAGCGCTGATTGATAGCGCTGGGTGGCGCCACGCTTGGCGTGCAGTGCCAGCCCCTACAGGACAGGGTGTGGGAGTGCCGGCTGTAGAAATGAGGTTACTAAAGGCAATGGCACTTTGGTTGACCCGAAAGGACACGTGACCAGTTAAGTCTACAAAGGGGCCCCAAGTGAGGGCTGGGGGTGGTCACGTGGTCCGGGTCCAGATCCTGCTCGAGGATTCTGGAAGGTGGTCGTGGCCAAGGAGCGGAGCCAGCCACGCCGCAGAGAATAGAAGCCGGGTCCCCCAGAGGGACTGGCGTTGTTGTTCATCATAAAGAAACCTTAGTCTACGTTCTTCGAGTCTCCAACACGTGGACCTGGACCCGAGCTGTGGTCCCGGTCCATAGTAGCTAGTTACGTGGTAATTAGTGTAGTTAGCCTGGTGGTCACCACCATAGGTTATTCTGTTAAGGGGCAGTTACCCTGTGTGTTGGTGTTAAATAAATGTGTTTGCCTCCAAGTGTACGTCTGCGACTCAGTTGAACTCACTACACATATATTCAGGTATTGAGATGCTCCATAACAATGATACAAGGACCATACTGATCACTGTGCTTTCGTCTGTTTCATGCCTTCACATTCATCGTCTACAGAATCTACTACCCTCTTATGTAAGTCCTCATGCTCACACGTGACTCACAGCACCACGTACTGGTACTGGCAGCGCCACCGTTTAGGCCCAGCCTCACGAGCAGTGCCCCAAGCTTGGGATGTCATCTTCAGAGATCGAGCTTCTTGCACGTGAAGACGTGATCTGACACCTACATTCTTCCCTCACCTGATACTGCCGCAACAGCGAAAACGCCCCTCATAAAATTGACTAAATAATACAGTAGCCACGTTACTTTGTACAGGATAACTCAAAACGCACTAATTACTCATTGTGTTTATAGACTATTCTCAAATGATCCTGTTTACAGTTTTTGAAAAACTGATTGCAAATGTTTATATTAGATTATAAATATGATTGCAGTATTGTCTAAGACAGACACCCAATTGTCCCGTGGGCAAACCTCTAACATACACTCTGAACCTGGGGACCTGAGTTTGATTCTGGGCAACAGCTATCACCAGTGAATGATATCTGAAGTGATCCTGGATGCCCCACTGCTTCACTCACCCACACCGACCAGCGTGGTGAGGTATGGTCAAACATGACCGACACAACGTTAAACATACTCTTTGGTTTTTTCGGTAAAGTCACGTAGGTAGAAATAAAATAAAACAAATCACGACGTTTGGATCGCAACACAAGAGATCCTCATCAGGTGGGACAATCACAGCAATAAAATGCTGAAGTCGGCGAGAGAGCTGCCGTTGAAAGAGGTTATATAGGTCAGAGAGGGGGGAGGAGGCAAGGGGGGAGAGAGAGAGAGGGGGTGTGTGGGGTAGGGGGGGCCGCGTGAGCGCTCGGGGAAGAGGAAGTGAGGCTGGGGGGGGGGGAAGTTGGCGGGGCTAGAAGTGGGAAGTTGGGGAAGAACAGATGAAAAGGGTGCTAGTAAACCGGCAGGTAATGATGGAAACAACATCCAGTTAAGGCATTGCCTGGTTGATAACATCCTTCCAATGATTGTTCAATTTGTATCATCTTCTCGGTTAATGTTTTGTCTTTGTTTATATATCTGGATGGCTTCATGAACAAACGTTTGATAGTAGCCCGAGCGTTTGCCGAGTACTTTGGTCTCGGAAAAAACAATATCATGCGAGCCCATAGCGTTTTAACAATGGTCAGCTACGTTAAACAATCACAAATTATAAACAAAACGTAGCTCACCCTCCGTCAAAGCACGGCGTGAGAATGGGCAGCGAAGCTGAGTGGGTGCAATGAATGGAAACTCAGAGCCGGGTGTCATCAGCGTAGCAACGGTGGCCACTGTCGAACTGGAGATGATTTGGCCAAGTGGAAGGAGACGTTGTGAGGAGAGCGGAGGACGAAGGCGGAGCCTTGTGGTACACCACAAAGCAACGTTCCCCAGGAGAAGGTGGTGGCCTTTGTATTGAAGCATCGAGGAGCATTTGAGACGGGACAGACATTTCCAAGGTTGTTGGGGCTCGTCGTGAGTTGTGTTAGGACGCTAGTGATCGCAGTCGTCTTAAGGGCTGGGGGAATGGTACGGGATCACATGGTGGATTTGACAAGACTGGTAATGTAGGGTGCTTTGTGGATATACTTTGTGAGTACAGGACCAAGCATAGAAGAAAACGTGTTTTCTTTTACCAGAAACAGAATCTTTATTTATCCTGGAGAAATTCACAGATACACTATGGGAACCTCATTTGCCAGTAAAAATATGATAATTGGTTTTTTACCCTTCTATCTGGCAACAAAACTGACACCTTTTTACAAGGAGTCATGTTTGCATAGACCGCAATACCTGCAGTCATAATACAAACAAAAGAACATAACTCTGATAATGTGCACTGTCCTTGAAGTTGATTGGTTCACACCCGAGACAGCTTTCCTTAGAGCCTCGTCTCACATGGGTTGGACCAGATGACGCCTTTTGGCGTTATGTTCTTTTGTTTGTATTATGACTGCAGGTATCGCGGTCTATGCAAACATGACTCCTTGTAAAAAGGTGTCAGTTTTGTTGCCAGATAGAAGGGTAAAAAACCAATTATCAAATTCACAGATGTTCAGTAGGGGCGGGTCGGAAAGTAACATAATGAACATGTCTGTGTGCGTGTCTTGCCATTTAATGCATCTTTGTCGTCAGTAGAGCAATTGGCACCACCAGTTAAATCGAAGCAATGTTGGTGCTCTCAGATTCTCAATTGAGATGCTTTTAAACAGTGAGTGTACATTGCATAATATCATTGGTCACGCTACTGAAAGTCATCTGTGTCACCATCTCATGTCTTCATCATCTGATGCAGTATCTACCATGACCCCTCCTTGTAAGTTTCCTCTCCCACTGCAGTTCCATCAGCTGTAAACTTGTCCTGTGCCACATGTAGCAATTAACCCAGGAGTAGTCATTGGAATGCGCATATCCTACAAGTCCTACTCACTGGGCTTGTAATGATCTCCCCGTCTCCTCCATAAAATATGCAATGAATTGTCACAATTCGATTAAATAATTCTGCATCTTTGCACGTTATGCTGTCTCCTTAAAACATGCCTCTCTGACTGTTCAGTTTTTTTGGTCAGTTAGCCTAAAGCAGTGGTTCCCACTGAGTGTGGTCTCCGCTCCACCACTGAGTGGTCTGCAGGGCTGTGATATCACCGCAGGTTGATCCAGACAACAATGACACTGTTGATCCCTTTTGTATCGGACATTAATTCATAGTTTTGATATTCAATGTAAAAATAAAGTTTGGGAAAACTACCCTGACTCAACTTCCGTAACCCTAACATCCAAATGCCCATCCCAAAAAAAACCGAACAGCTGCGTTTAAAAAAAGACATGTTTCTTATGTTCCGGTGTTATGAATCATTTAGTATGAGTGGTGTTTAGAGAGAGAAGTGAATGAGTTGTGTCACCAGGGGTGCGGGGGTGGCTGGGTGGTGATCCGCGAAAAAGTTTACATCGGCTGAGTGGTGCGGGGGCCACACAAGTTTGAGAAACACTGCGCTGAAGGAGGCATTACATTTATTTTGGATAGTCATCAAGTTGTAAATGCACGATTTGATGCACGTTTCTTGAGTGTGACGGTCATTAAATGCGTAAAGCTGCTGCAATGATGAATAATACAAATAAATACTTTCATGCTCACCAGATGCGCCCATTCGGCTGGCTGGGGGTGGCTCCTCGTGTCAAGGCCGAGTGGAGGTGTTCTACGGCGGCGCGTGGGGCACGGTGTGCGATGACATCTGGAATCTGCAGCACGCCCAGGTCGTGTGTCGCCAGCTGGACTGTGGCTCCGCTGTTGCTGCCTTGTCCTATGCTTACTTCGGACCGGGCTCTGGTCAGATCTGGCTCGACAATGTCCAGTGCTTTGGCGACGAGCCTGAGCTCTCCTCCTGTCAGCATCCTTCCTGGGGGTTTCACGACTGTGGGCATCAGGAGGATGCCTCTGTCATCTGCTCACAAGGTACATTCAATGTAACGTGCATGTGTAACACTTTGCCTAGATGCCCTGTAAATACATGTCCACGACGCTTCTATGTAGCCCAATGGAAAGGGTCAAAGGACTTCGAGAAGAGATAATGAGATGTACACAGTTAGACATGAACAGTCTGCCTCAGCATCAGACCATGTTTCCCACCTGATGACGGACGCTTGTGTTGTGCCCGAAACGTGATTTATTTTATGTTTCTACCGACGTGACTTTACCGAAAAAACTAAATAGTATGGATTCCTGCAGTCACGAAAGCTTCAAATCAAGATTGATCTTTAGTATCATCAATTTGCAGTTTGAGGAGCCACAAATCACAGTCCGAAGGAAGGTGAAAGGTCCCTTTATGCTCTTGTCCAACTCAAGTGTTGTGTTCTGTTTTTCACCTTTTTTCTGCATCATCGCGAGATGCGATTTAAGCACCGGGTGGCATCATGGGGGATACCGTCTACGCCAGGTGCAATGAGCGAGCCCTGCTGTGACGCTGGGATTGAATGCATTGCTCCTACTTGATAGTCAACTATTTCATCATGTGCAGTGGTTTGGTATGCGATGGGTGACTCTTCAGGCTTTGTGATGCTCATTAACAATGATACGGGAGCCCTGCTGATCACTGTGCTTTTGTCTGTTTCATGCCTTCACATTCATCGTCTACAGCTACTACTACCCTGCCATGTAAGTCATCACGCTCACACGTGACTCATAGCACCATGACCTGGTACCGGTAGCGCCACCGTTTAGGCCCAGCCTCATGAGCAGTGCCCCAAGCTTGGGATGTCATCTTCAGGGATTGAACTTCTTCCAAGTGAAGACGTGATCAGACACCTACGTTCTTCCGTCACCTGATACTGAGCTAAATGATACAGTAGTCATGTGACCTTGTACACGATAACAAAAACAAGCATACCTATGAATGACTCAGTGTGTAGACTATTCTCAGATATCCTGGTTATTATTGTTATAAAACTGAAATGTGTTCTTGCAGCAAGCAACCGGAAGGGTACACGGAACAAACACGTATAGATGACACTTACACTGTATATAGGTGAAAAATACGTGTGTAAATATTAATTTATTATTGCAAATTGATTGTAATTTTCATGTATTTGTACTTTGTCTCTTTTCAAATAATTACGATCTGGTTCAGCTACATCTACTGGTAAGTAATAATTGTCAACATCACTATAATCTCTGTGCATGGTATGGGTCATTGTATAGAGACAACTCCTGTTAACGTACCACAAATTGGTCCCAATTATATGGACCTCAGATTATTGATCGGCAAAATTGTTCCTTGCTTGGGATTTACATTGCAACTTTCTGAGTCAAGCAATCTAGCCACTGTGTAATTCTGCAGGCTTATAAAGTTTGTATATTTATATATAGATTTTGTTGTCTCTGGTGTGGACCAATCAGTTTCAAAGACAGTGCATAAATTATCAGAGTATTGTTGTTTGTTTGCATTTGACTGCAAGTATTGTGGGTAATGTAAGCATGATTCATTGCAAAAGGTGTCAGTTTTGTTGCCAGAAAAAAGGGGAAAAACCCTATTAGTATATTTTGGTACTGGCAAAGGAGGTCCCATTATGTAGCTGCTCACCCCGAGCTCTCATTACTCTGGTAGTGCGTTGTCTTTGAACTGTGCGCCTTTTGGCTTCATCTGGTCGAAGACCATATGAGACGAGGCTCTAAAGAAAGCTGTCTCTGGTGTGGACCAATCAGTTTCAAAGACAATGCATAAATGATCAGAGTATTGTTTTTTGTTTGCATTTGACTTCAAGTATTGTGGTTAATGTAAGCATGATTCCTTGCAAAAGGTATCAGTTTTGTTGATAGAAAAAAGGGGAAAAACCCTATTAGTATAATTACAGTATTGTAGGTTACACATTTTGCTCACAAAACTACTACGTAAATAATGTCCCTGTAATGGATGACACTGTATGGGACAGGAGGTCTGTATTACATATTTTCCAGTTTTGAGATGCTCCATAATGATACAAGGACCATACTGATCACTGTGCTTTCGTCTGTTTCATGCCTTCACATTCATCGTCTGCAGAATCTCCTGCCATCACATGTAAGTCCTCATGCACACACGTGACTCACAGCACCACGTGCTGGTACCGGCAGCGCCACCGTTTAGGCCCAGCCTCAAGAGCAGTGCCCCAAGCTTGGAATGTCATCTTCAGGGATTGAGTTTCTTGCAAGTGAAGACGTGATCTGACACCTACATTCTTCCCTCAACTGATATTGCCATAACAGCAAAAAACCCTTAAAAAATGTACTTAATAATACAGTAGTCATGTGGCCATGTACAGGATAAAAAACAAACATACATATAATTGACTCACAGAGTTTATAGACTATTCTGAGAATATCCCGGCCATAGTTTTGGCAAAACTGGACCGTTTGCATGCAGGAGGCGACCAGAAGGGCACATTGATAAATCAAGAATAGATGACACTTGCACTGTATATATATAGGTGAAAAATACGTGTGTAAATATTAATTTATTATTGCAAAATGATTGTAATATTCATGTATTTGTACTTTGTCTCTTTTCAAATAATCTTGATCTGATTCAGCTACAACTCCTGGTAAGTAATAAAAGTCAACACAAACATCTCAGTGCATAATATGGGTCATTGTATAGAGAAAACAACAACTCGTGCTAACTGACCATGAATTGAGTCTAATTATATTGATCTCAGATTGATGACCAGTCGAATTGTTCCTTGCATGGGATTTATTTTGCAACTTTCTGAGTCAAGCACTCTAGCCACTCCTGTTAGATTAGAGAGTTTGTGTATTTATATTCTGCTGTAAATACGACTGGGTAATTCAAGTATGAAGAACAACCCCTTGCTAGAAAATGTCCATCCCATTGATGAAAATGGGTTTGGTCTGTTTTACATATTTATCATTTGGGGGAGCTCTTAGCAGTGCTGCTGCTAAGCCCTGACAATCGCTATCATCATCTCTGTGCGACAGTGGCTCATTAACAGCATTCAGCTCATTAGCTTGTAACCATTGTGAAATCAACAAGCCAGACGTAACAATTACAGTCATGTACGTTATATATCTAGTTCACAACATTACAGCACAATGAATGGCCCTTGTATATCATGACACTGTTTTGGACAGGTTGTCTGTATTACATATGTAATAAAAGACTCGGACGCTTCTCTCTGTCCTGAGTCCTTTATTTGGGTTCGATCTCTTTTCCCTCACGGCACTTCCCCTATATACTCTTCGCTCTGCAGCCCCCAGGCTGCTGTCGATCACGTAGCCCACTTCTCTCCTAGCAGACCCGCTGCTGTCTCGTCGTGCAGACCCCCGCTGCCCAACTCCGCCCTTGCAGACCCGCTGCTCTCTCTGCAGTCTCCTCGCTGCTCCTGCTGCCCTGGGGTCGGTCACCGTTGGCCGACGGTGCCGATCCTCGGGGTCCGTGTGTGTGGCGATCTCGCCACTCTCTCTTTCCCACTCCGCCCTGCGTGGCCTCACACTTTCCCAGTCTCCGATCACTCCCCTACCGCTTCCGGTTTCTCCCCTTATAGACCTGAACCCTCTCCCCCACGTGACGTAACTCCTCCCCCCATGACGTCACTTCCGGGAGGTCGTTTACGCCCGCATTACACATATTTAGTGGCATCGCGGGATGTCACTATGCAGTGCGGTGTAACGACATCGCGGACACCACAATGGTGTGGGTGCAGTACCGGCCCTAGAGGGGCTTGGTGAGCGCTGATTGATAGCGCTGGATGGCACCACGCTTGGCGTACAGTGCCAGCCCTACATGATAGGGTGTGGGAGTGCCGGCAATAGGAATGAGGTTACTAAAGGCCATGGCACTCTGGTTGACCCGAAAGGACACGTGACCAGTTAAGTCTACAAAGGGGCCCCAAGAGGGGGCTAGGGGGGTCACTTGGTCGGGGTCCAGATCCTGCTCGAGGATTCTGGAAGGTGGTTGTGGCCAAGAGCGGAGCCAGCCACGCCGTAGAGGATCTAAGCCGGGTCCCCAGAGGGACCGGCGTTGTTGTTCATCCTGAAGAAACCTTCGTCTATGTTCTCCGAGTCTCCAAGACGTGGACCTGGACCCGAGCTATGGTCCCTGTCCATAGCAGCTAGTTACGTGGTAATTAGTGTAGTTAGCCTGGTGGTCACCACCATAGGTTATTCTGTTAAGGGGCAGTTACCCCGTGTGTTGGTGTTAAATAAATGTGTTGCCTCCAAATGTACGGCTGCGACTCAGTTGAACTCACGACACATATATTCAGGTTTTGAGATGCTCCATAACAATGATACAAGGATCATACTGATCACTGTGCTTTCGTCTGTTTCATGCCTTCACATTCATCGTCTACAGAATCTACTACCCTCCCATGTAAGTCCTCATGCTCACACGTGACTCACAGCACCACGTGCTGGTACCGTCAGCGCCACCGTTTAGGTCCAGTCTCACGAGTAGTGCCCCAAGCTTGGGATGTCATCTTCAGGGATCGAGCTTCTTCCAAGTGAAGACGTGATCTGGAACCTACATTCTTCCCTCAACTGATATTGCCATAACAGCAAAAAACCCGTATAAAATAGACTCAATGTGACTATGTACATGATCAAAATATACCCATGAATGACTCACCAAGTTTACACACAATTCTTACAAGATCCTGCTTAGTCTTTGGAAAACTGTTTGTCAATGTTTGCATCCTGGAGGAAACCAGCGGGCATACGGATCAAGCAAGTGTAGATGACACTTACACTGTCTATATAGTTCAAAAATGCGATTGAAGTATCATCTAATACAGGCACAACATTGTCCTCTGGGTAAACCTCGAACACAAAACAGCTCCGTCTCTCCGTGATCCACAAACCTCACCTCTGAGTTATTGGATTACAGTCACCCACAACCACATAAAGTCAGATGGCCTTTAACAGATGGCTCACATGACTATAAAGTCTTTATTTAGTCCATGATTATTTTTATTATGTCACCATATAGTCATTGTTTCTGTGTGTGTGCACATCATTGTATTGAGGATCATGTAAAGTTCTAGTGATCCTAGTACGGAAAGTCAGGTAAAAAGTTCAAGCCCAATCCCAGCGCAATAAACATTGTAAACAAGGTCACGGCATCATCGCGTGCTTTCAGATGCGCTTTTGCGGCCGTCTGGAAAGCTCTTCCGACATTAGGAAGCCACTGGAGCTGCGAACTTTTAAATCTAGGTTGAAACTAATTTCTTTACAACAATTTTTTGTGCTTAATTGTCTGTTCCCCGCACCTGCGATTAGCACGGTTGGCTACGTAAGCTGCGAAAGAAGTTCAACATGCAGACCTAATGATTGCGCCTTTCTTTGCAGATTGGTGCCAGTCATACCCCTGTCAAAATGGGGGCACCTGTGCATTATACTGGTCGTATCCCTACTACCAGTGCTTTTGCCCTCCAGAATCATGGGGCAGCAACTGTGAATACGGAAGTAAGATAACTCCTTGAACCTTGTTCATCCCTTTTAATGAATCAAACATTGTCATGTATCTGCTAATGTTAATGCGCACGTGGATGTATTATTCTGTATACCTGTTCGCGTATTTTAGAGACCTGATCGCACACCTACATTCGTCCCTCAACTGATATTGCCGCAACAGCAACAAACCCTTATAAAATGGACTTAATAATACAGTAGTCACATGACCATGTACAGGATGAAAATATAGCCATGGATCACTCACCAAGTGTATAGACTATTCTTAGAAGATCCTGATTAGTCTGTGGAAAACTGATTGTAAATGTTTGCATCCTGGAGGAAGCCATAGGGCACACGATCCAAGCAAGTGTAGATGACACTTACACTCTGTATAGGTCAGAAATATGCATGTAAATATGAATTTATTATTTCAAAATGATTGTAATATTAACGTATTTGTACTTTTTCTCTTTTCAAATAATTACGATCTGGCTCAGCAACAACTGCTGGTAAGTAATGATTGTCAACATCAATATCATCTCTGTGCATGGTATGGGTCATTGTATAGAGACAACTCCTGCTAACTTACCACGAATTAGGTCTAATTATAATAACCTCAGATTGATGATCGGCGAATTGTGGTTCTAATGATATTGACCTCATTAATGACCAGCCGAACGTTTCCTTGCATGGGATTAATCTTGTAACTTCCTGAGTAAAGCAATCTAGCCACTATGCCCTTCCGCTGGATTATATAATTTGTAGATTTATATTTTTCTGAATATACTACTCATTAACTGCAGTCAGCTCGTCATCAAGTAACCACTGTGAACTTAACAAGCCGCCAGATGTAGCAATTATAGTATTGTAGGTTACACATTTTGCTCACAAGACTACCACACAATTAATGGCCCTAGAATGGATGACAATGTATGGGGCAGGTGGTCTGTACTACTTATTTTCAGATTTTGAGACGCTCCACAACAATGACACAAGGACCCTGCTGATCACTCTGTTTTTGTCTGTTTCATGCCTTCACATTCATCGTCTGCAGAAACGACTTCTTACTCCACCTGTAAGTCATCACGCTCACACGTGACTCACAACACCATGTCCTGGTACCGGCAGTGCCACTGTTTAGGCCCAGCTCACGATCAGTGCCCCAAACCTGGCATGTCATCTTCAGGGATTGAGCTTCTTCCAAGTGAAGAATTGATCGTACACCTACATTCTTCCCTCAGCTGATACTGCAACGACAACGAAAACACCCTTATTAAATTAACTAAATAATACTTTAGTCGTGTGATCATGTACAGGATTAAAAACATACATATGATTGACTCAGAGTTTATAGACTATTCTGAGAATATCCTGGCCATAGTTTTGGCAAAACTGGAACGTTTGCATGACGGAGGCTACCAGAAGGGCACATTGATCAATTAAGAATAGATGACACTTACACTGTATATATATAGGTGAAAAATACGTGTGTAAATATGAATGTATTATTTGCTAAATGATTGTAATATTCATGTATTTGTACTTTGTCTCTTTTCAAATGATCTTGATCTGATTCAGCTACAACTCCTGGTAAGTAATAATTGTCAACACAAACATCTCAATGCATGGTATGGGTCATTGTATAGAGAAAACAACTCGTGCAAACTGACCATGAATTGGGTCTAATAATATTGACCTCAGATTGATGACCAGTCGAATTGTTCCTTGCAAGGGATTTATTTTGCAACTTTATGAGTCAAGCACTCTAGCCACTTCTGTTAGATTAGAGAGTTTGTGTATTTATATTCTGCTGTAAATACGACTGGGTAATTCAAGTATGATGAGCAACCCCTTGCTAGAAAATGTCCATCCCATTGATGAAAATGAGTTTGGTCTGTTTAAAATATTGATAATTTGGGGGAGCCCTTAGCAGTGCTGCTGCTAAGCCCTGACAATCGCTGTCATCTCTATGCGACAGTGGCTCATTAACAGCATTCAGCTCATTAGCTTGTAACCATTGTGAATTCAACAAGCCAGATGTAGCAATTACAGTCGTGTAGGTTATATATCTAGTTCACAACATTACAGCACAATGAATGACCCTGGTATATCATGACAGTTTTGGACAGGTGGCCTGTATTACATATATTCACGTTTTGAGATGGTCCCTAACATTGATACAAGGACCCTGCTGATCACTCTGCTTTTGTCTGTTTCATGCCTTCACATTCGTCTGCAGAAACTACTGAGTACTCCACCTGTAAGTCATCACGCTCACACGTGACTCACAGCACCACGTGCTGGTACCGGCAGCGCCACCGTTTAGGCCCAGCCTCATGAGCAGTGCCCCAAGCTTGGGATGTCATCTTCAGGGATCGAGCTTCTTGCACGTTAAGACGTGATCTGACACCTGCGTTCTTCCCTCACCTGATACTGCCACAACAACGAAAACACCCCTCATTAAATTAACTAAATAATACTGTAGTCGTGTGACCATGTACAGTACATGATAAAAAAACATACATATGATTGACTCACAGAGTTTATAGACTATTCTGAGACGATCCTGGCCATAGTTTTGGCAAAAACTGAAATGTTCGCATGCAACAGGCAACCAGAAGGGCACATTGATCAATCAGGCATAGATGGCACACTGTATACCAAGGTAATAAATACGTGTACATAAGATTTTGTATTGCAATATGATCGTAATATTAATGTATTTGTACTTTGTCTCTTTTCAAATAATCATGATCTGATTCAGCTACAACTCCTGGTAAGTAATAAAAGTCAACACAAACATCTCAGTGCATGGTATGGGTCATTGTATAGAGAAAACAACAACTCGTGCTAACTGACCATGAATTGAGTCTAATTATATTGATCTCAGATTGATGACCAGTCGAATTGTTCCTTGCATGGGATGTATTTTGCAACTTTCTGAGTCAAGCACTCTAGCCACTCCTGTTAGATTAGAGAGTTTGTGTATTTATATTCTGCTGTAAATACGACTGGGTAATTCAAGTATGAAGAACAACCCCTTGCTAGAAAATGTCCATCCCATTGATGAAAATGGGTTTGGTCTGTTTTAAATATTGATAATTTGGGGGAGCTCTTAGCAGTGCTGCTGCTAAGCCCTGACAATCACTATCATCATCTCTGTGCGACAGTGGCTCATTAACAGCATTCAGCTCATTAGCTTGTAACCATTGTGAAATCAACAAGCCAGACGCAACAATTACAGTCGTGTACGTTATATATCTAGTTCACAACATTACAGCACAATGAATGGCCCTGCTTGCATGACACTGTTTTGGACAGGTGGTCTGTATTACATATTTAGTGGCATCGCTGGATGTCACTATGCAGTGCCGGCCTTAGAGAGGCACGGCGTGCGGTGTAACGACATCGCGGACACCACGAGGGTGTGGGTGCAGTACCGGCCCTAGAGGGGCTCGGTGAGCGCTGATTGATAGCGCTGGGTGGCGACACGCTTGGCGTACAGTGCCAGCTCTACACGATAGGGTGTGGGAGTGCCGGCCATAGGAATGAGGTGATTAAAGGCCATGGCACTCTGGTTGACCCGAAAGGACACGTGACCAGTTAAGTCTACAAAGGGGCCCCAAGAGGGGGCTAGGGGGGTCACTTGGTCGGGGTCCAGATCCTGCTCGAGGATTCTGGAAGGTGGTTGTGGCCAAGAGCGGAGCCAGCCACGCCGCAGAGGATCTAAGCCGGGTCCCCAGAGGGACCGGCGTTGTTGTTCATCCTTCAGAAACCTTCGTCTACGTTCTCCGAGTCTCCAACACGTGGACCTGGACCCGAGCTGTGGTCCCGGTCCATAGTAGCTAGTTACGTGGTAATTAGTGTAGTTAGCCTGGTGGTCACCACCATAGGTTATTCTGTTAAGGGGCAGTTACCCCGTGTGTTGGTGTTAAATAAATGTGTTGCCTCCAAATGTACGGCTGCGACTCAGTTGAACTCACGACACATATATTCAGGTTTTGAGATGCTCCATAACAATGATACAAGGACCATACTTATCACTGTGCTTTCGTCTGTTTCATGCCTTCACATTCATCGTCTACAGAATCTACTACCCTCCCATGTAAGTCCTCATGCTCACACGTGACTCACAGCACCACGTGCTGGTACCGTCAGCGCCACCGTTTAGGTCCAGTCTCACGAGTAGTGCCCCAAGCTTGGGATGTCATCTTCAGGGATCGAGCTTCTTCCAAGTGAAGACGTGATCTGACACCTACATTCTTCCCTCATCTGATATTGCCATAACAGCAAAAAACCCGTATAAAATAGACTCAATGTGACCATGTACAGGATCAAAATATACCCATGAATGACTCACCAAGTTTACACACAATTCTTACAAGATCCTGCTTAGTCTTTGGAAAACTGTTTGTCAATGTTTGCATCCTGGAGGAAACCAGCGGGCATACGGATCAAGCAAGTGTAGATGACACTTACACTGTCTATGTAGTTCAAAAATGCGATTGAAGTATCATTTAATACAGGCACAACATTGTCCTCTGGGTAAACCTCGAACACAAAACAGCTCCGTCTCTCCGTGATCCATAAACCTCACCTCTGAGTTATTGGATTACAGTCACCCACAACCACATAAAGTCAGATGGCCTTTAACAGATGGCTCACATGACTATAAAGTCTTTATTTAGTCCATGATTATTTTTATTATGTCACCATATAGTCATTGTTTCTGTGTGTGTGCACACCATTGTATTGAGGATCATGTAAAGTTCTAGTGATCCTAGTACGGAAAGTCAGGTAAAAAGTTCAAGCCCAATCCCAGCGCAATAAACATTGTAAACAAGGTCACGGCATCATCGCGTGCTTTCAGATGCGCTTTTGCGGCCGTCTGGAAAGCTCTTCAGACATTAGAAAGCCACTGGAGCTGCGAACTTTTAAATCTAGATTGAAAACGGATTTCTTCACAACTGATTTTTGTGCTTAGTTGTATTTTCCCCCACCTGCGATTAGCACGGTTGGCTACGTAAGCTGTGAAAGAAGTTCAACATGCAGACCTAATGATTGCGCCTTTCTTTGCAGATTGGTGCCAGTCATACCCCTGTCAGAATGGGGGCACCTGTGCATTACACTGGTCGTATCCCTACTACCAGTGCTTTTGCCCTCCAGAATCATGGGGCAGCAACTGTGAATATGGAAGTAAGATAACTCCTTGAACCTTGTTTATCCCTTTTAATAAATCAAGCATTGTCATGTATCTGCTCATGTTAATGCGCATGTGGATGTATTATTCTGTATACCTGTTCGTGTATTTTAGAGACGTGATCGGACACCTACATTCTTCCCGCAACTGATATTGCCGCAACAGCAACAAACCCTTATAAAATGGACTAAATAATACAGTAGTCACATGACCATGTACAGGATGAAAATATAGCCATGGATCACTCACCAAGTGTATAGACTATTCTTAGAAGATCCTGATTAGTCTGTGGAAAACTGATTGTAAATGTTTGCATCCTGGAGGAAGCCATAGGGCACACGATCCAAGCAAGTGTAGATGACACTTACACTCTGTATAGGTCAGAAATATGCGTGTAAATATGAATTTATTATTTCAAAATGATTGTAATATTAACGTATTTGTACTTTTTCTCTTTTCAAATAATTACGATCTGGCTCAGCAACAACTGCTGGTAAGTAATGATTGTCAACATCAATATCATCTCTGTGCATGGTATGGGTCATTGTATAGAGACAACTCCTGCTAACTTACCACGAATTAGGTCTAATTATATTAACCTCAGATTGATGATCGGCGAATTGTGGTTCTAATGATATTGACCTCATTAATGACCAGCCGAACGTTTCCTTGCATGGGATTAATCTTGTAACTTCCTGAGTAAAGCAATCTAGCCACTATGCCCTTCTGCTGGATTATATAATTTGTAGATTTTTATTTTTCTGAATATACTACTCAGTAACTGCAGTCAGCTCATTATGAAGTAACCACTGTGAACTTAACAAGCCGCCAGATGTAGCAATTATAGTATTGTAGGTTACACATTTTGCTCACAAGACTACCACACAATTAATGGCCCTAGGATGGATGACAATGTATGGGGCAGGTGGTCTGTACTACTTATTTTCATATTTTGAGACGCTCCACAACAATGACACAAGGACCCTGCTGATCACTCTGTTTATGTCTGTTTCATGGCTTCACATTCATCGTCTGCAGAAACGACTACTTTCTCCACCTGTAAGTCATCACGCTCACACGTGACTCACAACACCATGTCCTGGTACCGGCAGCGCCACTGTTTAGGCCCAGCTCACGAGCAGTGCCCCAAACCTGGGATGTCATCTTCAGGGATTGAGCTTCTTCCAAGTGAAGAATTGATCATACACCTACATTCTTCCCTCAGCTGATACTGCAACAACAACGAAAACACCCCTTATTAAATGAACTAAATAATACTGTAGTCGTGTGACCATGTACAGGATAAAAAAAACATACATATGATTGACTCAGAGTTTATAGACTATTCTGAGAATTTCCTGGCCATAGTTTTGGCAAAACTGGAACGTTTGCATGCAGGAGGCTACCAGAAGGACACATTGATCAATCAAGAATAGATGACACTTGCACTGTATATATATAGGTGAAAAATACGTGTGTAAATATGTATTATTGCAAAATTATTGTAATATTCATGTATTTGTACATTGTCTCTTTTCAAATGATCTTGATCTGATTCAGCTACAACTCCTGGTAAGTAATAATTGTCAACACAAACATCTCAATGCATAATATGGGTCATTGTATAGAGAAAACAACTCGTGCAAACTGACCATGAATTGGGTCTAATAATATTGACCTCAGATTGATGACCATTCGAATTGTTCCTTGCAAGGGATTTATTTTGCAACTTTCTCAGTCAAGTACTCGAGCCAAGTTCTGTTAGTTTAGAGAGTTTGTGTATTTATATTCTGCTGTAAATACGACTGGGTAATTCAAGTATGAAGAACAACCAATTGCTCGAAAATGTCCATCCCATTGATGAAAATGGGTTTGGTCTGTTTAAAATATTGATCATTTAGGGGAGCCCTTAGCAGTGCTGCTGCTAAGCCCTGACAATCGCTATCGTCATCTCTGTGCGACAGTGGCTCATTAACAGCATTCTGCTCATTAGCTTGTAACCATTGTGAATTCAGCAAGCCAGATGTAGAAATTACAGTCGTGTAGGTTATATATCTAGTTCACACCATTACAGCACAATGAATGGCCCTTGTATATCATGACACTGTTTTGGACAGGTGGTCTGTATTACATATTTAGTGGCATCGCTGGATGTCACTGTGCAGTGCCGGCCTTAGAGAGGCACGGCGTGCGGTGTAACGACATCGCGGACACCACGTGGTGTGGGTGCAGTACCGGCCCTAGAGGGGCTCGGTGAGTGCCGATTGATAGCGCTGGGTGGCGCCACGCTTGGCGTACAGTGCCAGCCCTACAGGATAGGGTGTGGGAGTGCCGGCCATAGGAATGAGGTTACTAAAGGCCATGGCACTCCGGTTGACCCGAGAGGACACGTGACCAGTTAAGTCTACAAAGGGGCCCCAAGTGAGGGCTGGGGGTGGTCACGTGGTCGGGGTCCAGATCCTGCTCGAGGATTCTGGAAGGTGGTCGTGGCCAAGGGTGGAGCCAGCCACACCGCAGAGGATTTAAGCCGGGTCCCCCAGAGGGACCGGAGTTGTTGTTCATCCTATAGAAACCTTAGTCTACGTTCTCCGAATCTCCAACACATGGACCTGGACCCGAGCTGTAGTCCTGGTCCGTATTAGCTAGTTACGTGGTAATTAGTGTAGTTAGCCTGGTGGTCACCACCATAGGTTATTCTGTTAAGGGGCAGTTACCCCGTGTGTTGGTGTTAAATAAATGTGTTTTCTCCAATGTACGGCTGTGACTCAGTTGAACTCACTACACATATATTCAGGTTTTGAGATGCTCCATAACAATGATACAAGGACCATACTGATCACTGTGCTTTCCTCTGTTTCATGCCTTCACATTCATCGTCTCCAGAATCTACTTCCCTCCCATGTAAGTCCTCATGCTCACACGTGACTCACAGCACCACGTGCTGGTACTGGCAGCGCCACCGTTTAGGCCCAGCCTCACGAGCAGTGCCCCAAGCTTGGGATGTCATCTTCAGGGATTGAGCTTCTTCCAAGTGAAGACGTGATCTGACACCTACGTTCTTCCGTCACCTGATACTGAGCTAAATGATACAGTAGTCATGTGACCTTGTAGACGATAACAAAAACAAGCATATCTATGAATGACTCAGAGTGTGTAGACTATTCTCAGATATCCTGGTTATTGTTATAAAACTGAAATGTGTTCTTGCAGCAGGCAACCGGAAGGGTACACGGATCAAACACGTATAGATGACACTTACACTGCATATAGGTGAAAAATACGTGTGTAAATATTAATTTATTATTGCAAATTGATTGTAATTTTCATGTATTTGTACTTTGTCTCTTTTCAAATAATCACCATCTGGTTCAGCTACATCTACTGGTAAGTAATAATTGTCAACATCAATATAATCTCTGTGCATGGTATGGGTCATTGTATAGAGACAACTCCTGTTAACGTACCACAAATTGGTCCTAATTATATTGAACTCAGATTATTGATCGGCAAAATTGTTCCTTGCTTGGGATTTACATTGCAACTTTCTGAGTCAAGCAATCTAGCCACTGTGCAATTCTGCGGGCTTATAAAGTTTGTATATTTATATTCTTCTGTACATAGGACTTGGTAGTTCAAGTATGAAAAGCAAGCCCTTGATATAAAATTAACCCATTTATGCAAATGGCTTCGGTTTGTTTTCAATCAATTATCATTTGGTGCGGCCCTTTGCACTGCTGCTGCTACAATCGCTATCATCATCATCTCTGTGCGATGATGGCTCATTAAATGCAGACAGCTCATCAAGTTACCAATGCGAACTTAACTAGCCAGATGTAGCAATTACAGTATTGTAGGTTACACATTTTGCTCAAAAACTACTACGTAAAGAATGTCCCTGTAATGGATGACACTGTATGGGGCAGGATGTCTGTATTACATATTTTCCAGTTTTGAGATGCTCCATAATGATACAAGGACCATACTGATCACTGTGCTTTCGTCTGTTTCATGCCTTAACATTCGTCTGCAGAATCTCCTACCATCCCATGTAAGTCCTCAAGCACACACGTGACTCACAGCACCACGTGCTGGTACCGGCAGCGCCACCGTTTAGGCCCAGCCTCATGAGCAGTGCCCCAAGCTTGAGATGTCATCTTCAGGGATCGAGCTTCTTGCAAGTGAAGACGTGATCTGACACCTACATTCTTCCCTCAACTGATATTGCCATAACAGCAAAAAACCCTTAAAAACAATTACTTAATAATACAGTAGTCAAGTGACCATGTACAGGATCAAAATATATCCATGAATGACTCACCAAGTTTACACACAATTCGTAGAAGATCCTTAGTCTTTGAAAAATGTTTGTAAATGTTTGCATCCTGGAGCAAACCAGAGGGCACACGGATCAAGCAAGATCTATACAGTTCAGAAATACGATTGAAGTATCATCTAATACAGGCACGACATTGTCCTCTGGATAAACCTCGAACACAAAACAGCTCCATTTCGCCGTGATCCACAAACCTCACCTCTGAGTTATTGGATTACAGTCATGCACAACCACAGCAAGTCAGATGGCCCAACATTGTATTGAGGATCGTGTAAAGTTCTAGTGATCAAAGTACAAAAAATCAGGTAAAAAGTTGAAGCCCAAAGATCACCCAGCGCAATAAACATTGTAAACACGGTCACTGCATCATCGCGCACTTTCAGATGCGCTTTTGCGGCCGTCTGGAAAGCTCTTCCGACATTAGGAAGCCACTGGAGCTGCGAACTTTTAAATCTAGGTTGAAAACTAATTTCCTTCAAACTAATTTTTGTGTTTAATTGTATGTTCCCCACACCTGCGGTTAGCACGGTTGGCCACATAAGCTGCGAAAGAAGTTCAAAATGCAGACCTAATGATTGCGCCTTTCTTTGCAGATTGGTGTCAGTCATACCCCTGTCAGAATGGGGGCACCTGTGCATTCTACTGGTCGTATCCCTACTACCAGTGCTTTTGCCCTCCAGGATCATGGGGCAGCAACTGTGAATACGGAAGTAAGACAACTCCTTGATTCTTGTATATCCCTTTTAATGAATCAAGCATTCCCATCTACCTGCTTATGTTAATGCGCACGTGGATGTTTTAGTCTGTATACTTGTTCATGTATTTGAGACATGATCGGACACCTACTGATATTGCCGCAACAGCAACAAACCCCTATAAAATGAACTAAATAATACAGTAGTCACGTGACCATGTACAGGATTAAAATATAGCTATGAATCACTCACCAAGTTTATAGACTATTCTTCTAAGATCCTGCTTAGTCTTTGGAAAACTGATTGTAAATGTTTGCATCCTGGAGGAAACAAGAGGGCACACAAATCAAGCAAGTGTAGATGACACACTCTATATAGGTCAGAAATATGCGTGTAAATATGAATGTATTATTGCAAAATGATTGTAATATTCATATATTTGTACTTTGTCTCTTTTCAAATAATTACGATCTGGCTCAGCTACAACTACTGGTAAGTAATGATTGTCAACATCAATGTCATCTGTGAATGGTATGTGTCTCGGCCTCGCTGTGCGCTGCGTTGCACCGCTAGCCGAGTAGTTATCCTCGCGTCCAATAAACCCTCAGAGCCAGGATGAACGTCGGACTCCAAACGTCATTTATTGAATCTAACGAGGTAAAACTGGTAAGAAAACAGCCAGATACAGCATCTGTTAATACCCGGAAACACCAACACCATGAATGAACACCACGGCATCATAACATTGTCTTAGATAACATGTTTCTCAACAATAGATCCTGGATGGACCAGGCACCTACATTACCACTGAATAGTTATACAAGAGCATAAGCTACAGTGTTACATAAAGGCACACCGTGTTATCACACTGCACCCCAGATGTACAGTACTACACATAACACTGCACTATGAATGAGACATTTCGTCATCCTTGCTCTCCAGACTGCAATAAAGTTACTTAGGTACAAGTTTGACTCGACTTATTAAATTACAAGTAACATTCACAATAAGAAAGTTGCAGGCTTCGTTGTTAACTAGGCCTCGTATTTATCATAACAATTTAACGGAATTATAAAGGCATTTACATCATTATAACTGTCATTCTAACATTATAACAGCATTGCCAATATTATAAGAACATAAACGAGCTTACAGACAATGCTTCTTAAAGTCCCACAATGGACATTTGCAGCTGGCTTCACTGTGACGCGATGTGTGCCGCCATCTTGAATTATGTGTGTAATGGCCGACGCCTGCGTGGTTGAGCGGGAATCTTAAATCGCAACTTTCTGGTCACGTGACCAAACTTAGCACCAAAAACAGGAAATCCCTGTGTACATACGCCCCACATCTGCCGTGAGGCAGAACAGTATGGGTAATTGTATGGAGACGACAACTCCTGTAAACTTACCACAAATTGGTTCTAATTATATTAACCTCAGATTGATGATCAGGGAATTATTCCTTGCATGGGCTTTATGTTGTAACTTTCTGAGTCAAGCAATCTAGCCACTGTGCCATTCTGCCGACTTATAGAGTTTGTATATTTGTATTTTTCTGTCAATAGGACTTGTTAGTTAAAGTATGAAAAACAAGCCCTTGATAGAAAATTAACTACCCATTTATGCTAATGGCTTTGGTATGTTTTCAATAACTATAATTTTGTGTGGCCCTTTGCACTGCTGATGATACAATCAATATCATCATCTTTATGCGATGATGGCTCATTGACTGCAGACAGCTAATCAAGTTACCACTGTGAACTTACCAAGCTAGATGTAACAATTACAGTATTATAGGTTAAACCTTTTGCTCACAACACTACCAAACAATGAATGTCCCTGTATTAGATGACCCTGTTTTGGACAGGCAGTCTGTATTACATATTTAAAGATTTTGAGACGCTCCATAACAATGACACAAGGGCCCTGCTGATCACTTTCTTTTTTTCGTTTTCATGCCTTCTTATTCGTCTGCAGAAACTACTCCTTACTCCACCTGTAAGTCATCACGCTCACACGTGACTCACAGCACCATGTTCCGGTACCAGCAGCGCCAACGTTTTGGCCCAGCCTCATGAGCAGTGTCCCAAGCTTGGGATGTCATCTTCAGGGATTGAGCTTCTTGCATGTGAAGATGTGATCTGACACCTACATTCTTCCCTCAACTGATACTGCCGCAACAGCGAAAACACCCTCGTAAAAATGGACTAAATAAAACAGTAGCCATGTTACTTTGTGCAGGATAACTAAAAACGCACTAATTACTCATTGTGCTTATAGACTATTCTCAAATAACCCTGTTTACAGTTTGTGCAAAACTGATTGAAAATGTTTATATTAGATTATAAATATGATTTAAGTATTGTCTAAGACAGACACCCAATTGTCCTCTGGGCAAACCTCTAACATACACTCTGAACCTGGGGACCTGAGTTTGATTCTGGGCAACAGCTATCATCAGTGAATGATATCTGCAGTGATCCTGGATGCCCCACTGCTTCACTCACCCACACCGACCAGCGTGGTGAGGTATGGTAAAACATGACCGACGCAACGTTAAATCAGAAATTAAAAACAAAACGTAGCTCACCCTCCGTCAAAGCACAGCGTGAGATTGGACAGCGAAGCCGAGTGTGTGCAATGGGAACTCAGAGCCGGGTGTCATCAGGGTAGCAACGGTGGCCACTGCCGAACTGGAGATGATTTGGCCAAGTGGAAGGAGACGTTGTGAGGAGAGCGGATGACGAAGGAGGAGCCTTGTGGTACACCACAAAGCAACGTTCCCCAGGAGAAGGTGGTGGCCTTTGTATTGAAGCATCGAGGAGCGTTTGAGAAGGGACAGACATTTCGAAGGTCTTGAGTTTTGTTAGGACGCCAGTGACCGCAGTCGTCTTAAGGGCCGGATCACATGGTGGATTTGACAAGACTGGTAATGTAGGATGCTTTGTGGATAGACTTTGTGGGTAGAGGACCAAGCATAGAAGATAAACCTGTTTTTTTTTACCAGAAACAGAATATTTATCCTGGAGAAATGCACAGATGTTCAGTAGGGGCGGGTCGGAAAGTAACATAATGAACATGTCTGTGTGTGTGTCTTGCCATTGAATACATCTGTGTTGTCAGTGGAGCAATTGGCACCACCAGTTAAATCGATGCAATGTTGGTGCTCTCAGATTCACAATTGAGATGTTTTTTGCAGTGAGTGTACATTGCATGATATCATTGGTCACGCTACTGAAAGTCATCTGTGTCACCATCTCATGATTTTGTGTCTTTCACATGTCTTCATCATCTGATGCAGTGTCTACCATGACCCCTCCTTGTAAGTTTCCTCTCCCACTGCAGTTCCATCAGCTGTAAACTTGTCCTGTACCACATGTAGCAATTAACCCAAGAGCAGTCATTGGAACGCGCATATCCTACAAGTCCTACTCACTGGGCTTTTAATGATCTCCCAGTCTCCTCCATGAAATATGCAATGACTTGTCACAATTCGATTAAATAATGCTGCATCTTTGCACGTTATGCTGTCTCCTTAAAACATGGCTCTCTGACTGTTCAGTTTTTTTGGTCAATTAGCCTTACGCAATGGTTCCCACTGAGTGTGGTCCCCACTGAGTGTGGTCCCCACACCACCACTGAGTGGTCTGCAGGGTTGTGATGTCACCGCAGGTTGATCCAGACAACAATGACACTGTTGATCCCTTTTGTATCGGACATTAATTCATAGTTTTGATATTCAATGTAAAAATAAAGTTTAGTAAAATTAACCCGACTCAACTCCTGTAACCCTAACATCCAAATGCCCATCCCCAAAAAAAACGAACAGCTGCATTTAAAAAATACATGTTTGTTATGTTCCGGTGTTATGAATCATTTAGTATGAGTGGTGTTTAGAGAGAGAAGTGAATGAGTTGTGTCACCAGGGGTGCGGGGGTGGCTGGATGGTGATCCTTGGAAAGTTTACATCGGCTGAGTGGTGCGGGGGCCACATAAGTTTGAGAAACACTGCGCTGAAGGAAGCATTACATTTATTTTGGATAGTCATCAAGTTGTAAATGCACGATTTGATGCACGTTTCTTGAGCGCGATGGTAAATTTCGGTACGTGGATAGTTAAATGCGTAAAGCTGTTGCAATGATGAATAATACAAATAAATACTTTCATGCTCACCAGATGCGCCAATACGGCTGGCTGGGGGTGGCTCCTGGTGTCAGGGCCGGGTGGAGGTGTTCTACGGCGGCGCGTGGGGCACGGTGTGCGATGACATCTGGAATCTGCAGCACGCCCAGGTCGTGTGTCGCCAGCTGGGCTGTGGCTCTGCTGTTGCTGCCTTGTCAGAAGCTCGCTTCGGACAGGGCTATGGTCAGATCTGGCTCGACGATGTCCAGTGCTCTGGCGTCGAGCCTCAGCTCTCCTCCTGTCAGCATCTTCCCTGGGGGAGTCACAACTGTGTCCATCAGGAGGATGCCTCTGTCATCTGCTCAGAAGGTACATTCAATGTGACGTGCATGTGTAACACTTTGCCTAGATGCCCTGTAAATACATGTCCACGACGCTTCTATGTAGCCCAATGGAAAGGGTCAAAGGACTTCGAGAAGAGATAATGAGATGTACACAGTTAGACATAAACAGTCTGCCTCAGCATCAGACCATGTTTCCCACCTGATGACGGACGCTTGTGTTGTGCCCGAAACGTCGTGATTTATTTTATGTTTCTACCGACGTGACTTTACCGAAAAAACTAAATAGTATGGATTCCTGCAGTCACGAAAGCTTCATATCAAGATTGATCTTTAGTATCATCAGTTTGCAGTTTGAGGAGCCACAAAACACTGTCCGAAGGGAGGTGAAAGGTCCCTTTTTATACTCTTGTCCAACTCAAGTGTTGTGTTCTGTTTTTCACCTTTTTTATGCACCATCGCGAGATGCGATTTAAGCACCGGGTGGCATCATGGGGGATACTGTCTACGTCAGGTGCAATGAGCGAGCCCTGCTGTGACGCTGGGATTGAATGCATTGCTCCCACTTGATAGTCAACTATTTAATCATGTGCAGGGGTTTGGTATGCGATGGGTGACTCTTCAGGCTTTGTGATGCTCATTAACAATGATACGAGAGCCCTGCTGATCACTGTGCTTTTGTCTGTTTCATGCTTTCACATTCATCGTCTGCAGAATCTACTACCCTCCCATGTAAGTCATCACGCTCACACGTGACTCACAGCGCCATGTCCTGGTACCGGCAGCGCCACCGTTTAGGCCCAGCCTCACGAGTAGTGCCCCAAGCTTGGGATGTCATCTTCAGGGATTGAGCTTCTTCCAAGTGAAGACGTGATCTGACACCTACGTTCTTCCGTCACCTGATACTGAGCTAAATGATACAGTAGTCATGTGACCTTGTAGACGATAACAAAAACAAGCATACCTATGAATGACTCAGAGTGTTTAGACTATTCTCAGATATCCTGGTTATAATTGTTATAAAACTAAAATGTGTTCTTGCAGCAGGCAACCGGAAGGGTACACGGATCAAGCACGTATAGATGACACTTACACTGTATATAGGTGAAAAATACGTGTGTAAATATGAATTTATTATTGCAAAATGATTGTAATTTTCATGTATTTGTACTTTGTCTCTTTTCAAATAATCACCATCTGGTTCAGCTACATCTACTGGTAAGTAATAATTGTCAACATCAATATAATCTCTGTGCATGGTATGGGTCATTGTATAGAGACAACTCCTGTTAACGTACCACAAATTGGTCCTAATTATAGACCTCAGATTATTGATCGGTAAAATTGTTCCTTGCATGGGATTTACATTGCAGCTTTCTGAGTCAAGCAATCTAGCCACTGCAATTCTGCGGGCTTATAAAGTTTGTATATTTATATTATTCTGTACATAGGACTTGATAGTTCAAGTATGAAAAGCAAGCCCTTGATAGAAAATTAACAACCCATTTATGCAAATGGGTTTGGTCTGTTTTCAATAACTTATCATTTGGTGCGGCCCTTTGCACTGCTGCTACACTATCATCATCTCTGTGCGATGATGGCTCATTAACTGCAGACAGCTCATCAAGTTACCACTGTTAACTTAACAAGCCAGATGTAGCAATTACAGTATTGTAGGTTACACATTTTGCTCACAAAACTGCTACATAAAGAATGTCCCTGTAATGGATGACACTGTATGAGACAGGTGGTCTGTATTACATATTTTCCAGTTTTGAGATGCTCCTTAACAATGATACAAGGACCATACTGATCACTGCGCTTTTGTCTGTTTCATGTCTTCACATTCATTGTCTACAGAATCTACTACCCTCTCATGTAAGTCCTCATGCACACACGTGACTCACAGCACCATGTGCTGGTACCGGCAGCGCCACCGTTTAGGCCCAGCCTCATCAGCAGTGCCCCAAGCTTGGGATGTCATCTGTAGGGATCGAGCTTCTTTCAAGTGAAGACGTGATCGGACACCTACATTCTTGCCTCAACTGATATTGCCATAACAGCAAAAAAACCCTTATAAAATGGACTCGATAATACAGTAGTCATGTGATCATGTACAGGATCAAAATATACCCATGAATGACTCACCAAGTTTACACAATTTTTAGAAGATTCTGCTTAGTCTTTGGAAAAACTGTTTGTAAATGTTTGCATCCTGGAGGAAATCAGAGGGCACACGGATCAAGCAAGCGGAGATGACACTTACAATGTCTAAACAGTTTAGAAATACGATTGAAGTATCGTCTAATACAGGCACGACATTGTCCTCTGGATAAACCTCGAACACAAAACAGCTCCATCTCTCCGTGATCCACAAACCTCACCTCCGAGTTATTGGATTACAGTCACCCACAACAAGTCAGATGGCCTTTAACAGATGGCTCACGTGACTGTAAAGTCTTTATTTAGTCCATGATTATTTTTATGACATCACCATAAAGCCATTGTTTCTGTATGTGTGTGCACAACATTGTGTTGAGGATCGCGTAAAGTTCTAGTGATCCGAGTACGAAAAGTCAGGTAAAAAGTTGAAGCCCAATCATCACCCAGTGCAATAAGCATTGTAAACATGGTCACTGCATCCTCGTGCGCTTTCAGATGCGCTTTTGCGGCCGTCTGGAAAGCTCTTCAGACATTAGAAAGCCACTGGAGCGGCGAACTTTTAAATCCAGATTGAAAACTAATTTCTTTACAACTGATTTTGTGCTTAGTTGTCTTTTACCAGCACCTGCGATTAGCACGGTTGACTACGTAAGCTGCGAAAGAAGTTCAACATGCAGACCTAATGATTGTGCCTTTTTTTGCAGATTGGTGCCGCTCATATCCCTGTCAGAATGGGGGCACCTGTGCATTCTACTGGTCGTATCCCTACTACCAGTGTTTTTGCCCTCCAGGATCATGGGGCAGCAACTGTGAATACGGAAGTAAGATAACTCTTTGAACCTTGTATATCTCTTTTAATAAATCAAGCTTTGTCATTCATCTGCTTATGTTAATGCGCACGTGGATGTATTAGTCTGTATACCTGTTGGTGTATTTTCGAGACGTGATCGGACACCTACCTTCTTCCCTCAACTGATATTGCCGCAACAGCAACAAACCCTTATAAAATTGACAAAAATAATACAGTAGTCATCTGACCATGTACAGGATGAAAATATAGCCATGAATCACTCACCAAGTTTATAGACTATTCTTCTAAGATTCTGCTTAGTCTTTGGAAAACTGATTGTAAATGTTTGCATCTTGGAGGAAACAAGAGGGCACACGAATCAAGCAAGTGTGGATGACACTCTATATAGGTCAGAAGTATGCATGTAAATATGAATTTATTATTGCAAAATGATTGTAATATTCATATATTTGTACTTTGTCTCTTTTCAAATAATTACGATCTGGCTCAGCTACAACTACTGGTAAGTAATGATTGTCAACATCAATGTCATCTGTGCATGGTATGTGTCTCGGCCTCGCTGTGCGCTGCGTTGCACCGCTAGCCGAGTAGTTATCCTCGCATCCAATAAACCCTCAGAGCTAGGATGAATGTCCGACTCCAAACGTCATTTATTGAATTTAACGAGGTAAAAATGGTAAGAAAACAGCACAGATACAGCATCTGTTAATACCCGGAAACACCAACACCATGAATAAACACCACAGCATCATAACATTGTCTTAGATAACATGTTTCTCAACAATAGATCCTGGATGGACCAGGCACCTACATTACCAATGAATAGCTATACAAGAGCATAAGTTACTGTGTTACATAAAAGGCACACCGTGTTATCATCACACTGCACCCCAGATGTACAGTACTACACATAACACTGCACTATGAATGAGACATTTCATCATCCTTGCTCTCCAGATCGCAATAAAGTTAATTGGGTACAAGTTTGACTCGACTTATTAAATTATAAGTAACATTCACAATAAGGAAAGTTACAGGCTTCGTTGTTAACTAGGCCTCGTATTTATCATACAAATTTAACAGCATTATAAAGGCATTTACATCATTATAACGACATTGCCAATATTATAAGAACATAAACGAACTTACAGACAATGCTTCTTCAAGTCCCACAATGGACAATTGCAGCTGGCTTCACTGGGACACGATGTGTGCCGCCATCTTGAATTATGTGTGTAATGGCCGACGCCTGCGTGGTTGAGCGGGAATCATAAATCGCAACTTCCTGGTCACGTGACCAAACTTAGCAGCCTGTGTACATATGCCCCACATCTGCCGTGAGGCAAGGCACCTGTCGTGAGGCAGAACAGTATGGGAAAATGTATAGAGACAACTCCTGTTAACTTACCACAAAATGGTTCTAATTATATTAACCTCAGATTGATGATCAGTGAATTGTTCCTTGCATGGGCTTTATGTTGCAACTTTCTGAGTCAAGCAATCTAGCCACTGTGCCATTCTGCCGACTTATAGAGTTTGTATATTTGTATTATTCTGTCAATAGGACTTGTTAGTTAAAGTATGAAAAACAAGCCCTTGATAGAAAATTAACAACCCATTTATGAAAATGGATTTGGTCTGTTTTCAATAACTATCATTTTGTGTGGCCCTTTGCACTGCTGCTACAATCATCATCTCTTTGGGATGATTGCTCATTAACTGCAGACAGCTCATCAAGTCACCACTGTGAACTTAACAAGCCAGACGTAGCAATTACAGTATTGTAGGTTAAACATTTTGCTCACAATACTACCACACAATGTCCCTGTACTAGATGACCCTTTTTTGGACAGGTGGTCTGTATTACATATTTAAAAATTTTGAGACGCTCCATAACAATGAGGCAAGGGCCCTGCTGATCACTTTGTTTTTGTCTTTTTCATGCCTTCTTATTCATCTGCAGAAGCTACTACTTACTATACCTGTAAGTCATCACGCTCACACGTGACTCACAGCACCATGTCCCGGTACCGGCAGCGCAACCGTTTAGGCCCAGCCTCATGAGCGGTGCCCCAAGCTTGGGATGTCATCTTCAGGGATTGAGCTTCTTGCAAGTGAAGACGTGATCTGACACCTACATTCTACCCTCACCTGATACTGCCACAACAACGAAAACACCCCTTATTAAATTAACTAAATAGTACTGTAGTCGTGTGATCATGTATAGGATAAAAAACAAACATACATATAATTGACTCACAGAGTTCTATTCTGAGAATATCCTGGCTATAGTTTTGGCAAAACTGGACCGTTGCATGCAGGAGGCGACCAGAAGGGCACATTGATAAATCAAGAATAGATGACACTTACACTGTATATATGTAGGTGAAAAATAGGTGTGTAAATATGAATTTATTATTGTAAAATGATTGTAATATTCATGTATTTGTACTTTGTCTCTTTTCAAATAATCTTGATCTGATTCAGCTACAACTCCTCGTAAGTAATAATTGTCAACACAAACATCTCAATGCATGGTATGGGTCATTGTATAGAGAAAACAACTCGTGCAAACTGACCATGAATTGGGTCTAATTATATTGACCTCAGATTGATGACCTGTTGAATTGTTCCTTGCAAGAGATTTATTTTGCAACTTTCTGAGTCAAGCACTCTTGGCACTTATGTTAGATTAGAGAGTTTGTGTATTTATATTCTGCTGTAAATACGACTGGGTAAATCAAGTATGAAGAACAACCCCTTGCTAGAAAATGTCCATCCCATTGATGAAAATTAGTTTGGTCTGTTTTACATATTTATCATTTGGGGGAGCCCTTAGTAGTGCTGCTAAGCCCTGACAATCGCTATCATCATCTCTGTGCGACAGTGGCTCATTAACAGCATTCAGCTCATTAGCTTGTAACCATTGTGAAATCAACAAGCCAGACGTAGCAATTACAGTTGTGTAGGTGATATATGTAGTTCACAACATTACAGCATAATTAATTGCTCTGGCTGCATGACATTGTTTTGGACAGGTGGTCTGTATTACATATTTAGTGGCATCGCGGGATGTCACTACGCAGTGCCGGCCTTAGAGAGAGGCATGTCGTGCGGTGTAACGACATCGCGGACACCACAATGGTGTGGGTGCAGCACCGGCCCTAGATGGGCTCGGTGAGTGCCGATTGATAGCGCTGGGTGGCACCACGCTTGGCGTGCAGTGCCAGCCCCTACAGGACAGGGTGTGGGAGTGCCGGCCATAGAAATGAGGTTACTAAAGGCCATGGCACTTTGGTTGACCCGAAAGGACACGTGACCAGTTAAGTCTACAAAGGGGCCCCAAGTGAGGGCTGGGGGTGGTCACGTCACGTGGTCCGGGTCGAGATCCTGCTCGAGGATTCTGGAAGGTGGTCGTGGCCAAGAGCGGAGCCAGCCACGCCGCAGAGGATCTAAGCCGGGTCCCCCAGAGGGACCGGCGTTGTTGTTCATCCTTCAGAAACCTTCGTCTACGTTCTCCGAGTCTCCAACACGTGGACCTGGACCCGAGCTGTGGTCCCGGTCCATAGTAGCTAGTTACGTGGTAATTAGTGTAGTTAGCCTGGTGGTCACCACCATAGGTTATTCTGTTAAGGGGCAGTTACCCCGTGTGTTGGTGTTAAATAAATGTGTTGCCTCCAAGTGTACGTCTGTGACTCAGTTGAACTCACTACACATATATTCAGGTTTTGAGATGCTCCATAACAATGATACAAGGACCATACTGATCACTGTGCTTTCGTCTGTTTCATGCCTTCACATTCATCGTCTGCAGAATCTACTACCATCCCATGTAAGTCCTCATGCTCACACGTGACTCAAAGCACCACGTGCTGGTACCGGCAGCGCCACCGTTTAGGCCCAGCCTCACGAGCAGTGCCCCAAGCTTGGGATGTCATCTTCAGGGATCGAGTTGCAAGTGAAGACGTGATCTGACACCTACATTCTTCCCTCAACTGATATTTCCATTACAGCAAAAAAGCCTTAAAATTTTACTTAATAATACAGTAGTCACGTGACCGTGTACAGGATAAAAATATACCCATGAATGACTCACCAAGTTTACACACAATTCGTAGAAGATCCTACTTAGTCTTTGAAAAATGTTTGTAAATGTTTGCATCCTGGAGAAAACCAGAGGGCACACGGATCAAGCCAGCATAGGTGACACTTACACTGTCTATACAGTTCAGAAATACGATTGAAGTATCATCTAATACAGGCACGACATTGTTCTCTGGATAAACCTCGAACACAAAACAGCTCCATCTCGCCGTGATCCACAAACCTCACCTCTAAGTTATTGGATTACAGTCATGCACAACCACAGCAAGTCAGATGGCCCAAAGATCACCCAGCGCAATAAACATTGTAAACAAGGTCACGGCATCATCGCGCGCTTTCAGATGCGCTTTTGCGGCCGTCTGGAAAGCTCTTCCGACATTAGGAAGCCACTGGAGTTGCGAACTTTTAAATCTAGGTTGAAACTAATTTCTTTACAACAATTTGTTGTGTTTAATTGTCTGTTCCCCCACCTGCGATTAGCACGGTTGGCTGCGTAAGCTGCGAAAGAAGTTCAACATGCAGACCTAATGATTGTGCCTTTTTTTGCAGATTGGTGCCGGTCATACCCCTGTCAGAATGGGGGCACCTGTGCATTCTACTGGTCGTATCCCTACTACCAGTGCTTTTGCCCTCCAGGATCATGGGGCAGCAACTGTGAATACAGAAGTAAGATAACTCTTTGAACCTTGTATATCCCTTTTAATAAATCAAGCATTGTCATCCATCTGCTTATGTTAATGCGCACGTGGATGTATTAGTCTGTATACCATTTAGTGTATTTCCGAGACGTGATCGGACACCTACCTTCTTCCGTCAACTGATATTTCCGCAACAGCAACAAACCCTTATAAAATGGACTAAATAATACAGTAGTCATCTTACCATGTACAGGATGAAAATATAGCCATGAATCACTCACCAAGTTTATAGACTACTAGCAGGAAGTACCCGGCGTTGCCCGGCTCTTAAAAATATTTCAAAACTACTCTTAAATATGTAAGAGCAGTGCGTACTGACTGTGGTGGTACCTGCTATGATTACAGCAGTGCATGTTGACTGTGGTGGTACCTGCTATGATTACAGCAGTGCATATTGACTGTGGTGGTACCTGCTATGATTACAACAGTGCATATTGACTGTGGTGGTACCCGCTATGATTACAACAGTGCATATTGACTGTGGTGGTACCTGCTATGATTACAACAGTGCATATTGACTGTGGTGGTACCTGCTATGATTACAACAGTGCATACTGACTGTGGTGGTAGCTGCTGTGATTACAGCAGTGCATCCTGACCGGTGGTACATGCTATGATTACAGCAGTGCATACCGACTGTGGTGGTTACCTGCTATGATTACAGCAGTGTATACTGTGGTGGGACCTGCTATGATTACAGCAGTGTATACTGTGGTGGGACCTGCTATGATTACAGCAGTGCATACTGACTGTGGTGGTACCTGCTATGATTACAACAGTGCATACTGACTGTGGTGGTACCTGCTATGATTACAGCAGTGCATGCTGACTGTGGTGGTATCTGCTATGATTACAGCAGTGCATACCGACTGTGGTGGTACCTGCTACATCTAGCGACTGTATAGTAGTAATAACTGCACGCATCGGGGTGGGGGAGACATCACACAGTGAAGATTTTTATCGCATTTTTAATAACGCGAGAGAAAATGTCCCCCCCCCCACCAAATGCGCGTGAGTTGGTATGGTCGTGCGCGCGTGATAAATAAATAATAGGTCTACTGCCTATAGTGCTAGCATCTAGCGACTGTATATATTAGTAACTGCACGCATCGGGGTGGGGGGGACATGACACAGTGGAGAATTTACGTCAGCGTTTAGTGTATTTTTATAGCATTTGTAACGCGAAATAAGATGTCCCCCTCACTCCCACCGAAGGCGTGCGACTTGGCATGGGCCGTTCCCCCCACCAAAGACGCGTGAGTTGGTATGGTCGTGCACGCGGCATGAATAAATAAATAAATAATGGTGAAGCACACAAAAATCGCACTAAATCGCTAATTAAACTAATTTAAAGTAGAAGGATGTGAAAAAGGAATAGCGCTTGCTGACCACGGGGCTTACGGCGTGGTAACTGGCTATGTTTTTTTAAATATAAACCCTGCCATTGGAGAGCCAAGCGAGCGACCACACACAAACCCACAATTTTTGACTTTTATATAGATAGATAGAAGAAGATAGATGAAGATAGAAGATAGAAGCTGCAGGCCATGAGGACATTCGGGGCGATGGATTTGACTCGCCATAGAAGGGTAGGGGACTGTTGTTTGAGGGAACCATGAAACAACATTGCGAGATGAAAGGTGCCTTAATGCTATTATCTGAAACTAGTCTTCTGTCCCGTTTTTTTTACTTTCATTCAGCATCATCTGGAGATGAGATTGATGTACTGGGTGGCATCATGGGGGATATATTTCAAGAGAAAGCCTTGCCGTGAATCTGGATTTCACTACCAGGATCCCCAGCGATATATTAGACCAGTGTCATCTCATGCAGTGGTTTGATATGTCCAGCTAGATTAGCAATGACAAATTTGTGATTTTGCTGTGATGATTTTAATTTGGACCTAAGATTGTGAGTCATTGTAAACTACTAGATGTTTCAGAGTTTCTCATTTTGACATCTTACATGCATTTGATTTGCATGCATCTATAGTTATACATTGATGTATGACTTAGTAACGGTGCATCTTGCACAACATAATACACGATAACATGATAACAAATATATGTTAAAAGCTTCAAAAAGTCAAAGAGTCCCCACTTGTTCGCAATCATTGTCAAGATGTAATTCTCCTCATATGTATTTGTCTTTTGTCTCTTTCAAATGATCATGACCTGGCTCAGTGTCAACTACTGGTAAGTTATCAACATCATCATGTCTGGCCATGGCACGGGTCATTGTTTCTATATTCTGTTCACTGTTAACCGCAATTGTTACAATAATAACACTGTTTAACCACCAGCTTACAACAGTAACAATGTATACATTTGAAATCCCAATGAATAACCATACATTTATCTTTTTTTCACCTCTAACATTCACTTTGGAGCAGAAACTGCTCCTACGACTACTCCTGGACCTGGTAAGAATCCACGTCTCTCTTGTGTACATCACAGTGGTGCCACTGTCACATTTGTTTGTGGAACCAAACGTGAAAAAGTACCGTGCAACAAAGTCTTGAATGTTGTAGTGTCAAAACTTACGATGAACAAATGAAGCACACGAGCCTCACCTGGTGCACGGAATAACAGTGATGTCTTTCTGCAGTCGGTTGCCAGTCCTATCCGTGCCTGAACGGTGGTACTTGTGAGGATCAGTGGTCATACCCCGGCCACTGGTGCTACTGCAGCCCACTGTGGTCCGGCAGCAACTGTGAATATGGTGAGAGGACATCGCGGTCTTTGTGTTTCTGTCCTTGCACCCACATACTACGACGTTTTGATCGCAACACAAGTGGTCGTCATCAGGAAAAGGGGGTTAGCCTCTAAAGGCAAACTGTTTATAAAGGTTTGAAATGGGCGTAGTCCAAGTGTCATCAGAATGGGCGGGGCAGCTGATGCTCATGTAGTGGTGGTACTCGTAGAGGGCAACGACGGCACTGGTGGTGGGTTTCCACCAATTAAAGGGCGGCCAAGTAATCATTGCACCTCGCTTTACACACTCACATTGTTGACGGTGGAGTTTGCTGCTAGAGGTGATGATACTCATAAAGGGCCACGACGGCACTGGTGATGGGATTCCACCAATAAAGGGCTACTGCAAGTGGTGATGGTAGTAGTGGGCAGTGATGGTGCCGGTGGTGGGCTTCCACCAATTAAAGGGCTGCCAGGTCTAAAATGGAAACATTACAACCAGTTATGACTTAAACTGGTTGATAACGTCCTTCTAGTGATTGCTTAGTTTGTACCAATCTTCTCGGTTGAAATTGTGTCCATGTCAATATATATTCATGGCTGCATGAACGAATCTTTGTTGATAGCCAGTGGGTTTGCAAAGTACCTTCGTCTTAGAGAAATCAAATTCGTGTGAGCTCACCGCATTAAAACAATGATCAGCCACGGTCGAGCTATTGGTCCTACCGTGTTTTAGATCTGCCTTGTGTTCATGAACACGGTCTGAGACATGTCGCTTAGTTTCCCCAATGTAACTACTGACGTAGACACAGCATAGTTTGTAGACGCCGGTGTATTGCATGTCAGGGATCACATCCTTCACAGATGGGATCAGATCACGAATTTTACGTACTGTGTTAAATCGAACCTGGATCTTGTTTTCTTATGCTTTTGGAAATCTCTTTGGTGACCCCTGCTATGTATGGAAAGGTGATGGTTTTGATTGGGTCCTCAGATGGTTCTTTCCCAACGGTTGGGGTGATAGTTTTACGGATTGTGTAGTCTGAATATGCATTCGTTTGGAGAGCTTGGTGTACGTGTTCCAGTTCACTGGATAGGTTGTGATGGTCGGAAATACATCGAGCTCATTGGTTGAGAGTTTTGATGAGGGAATTCCTCTGGGATGGATGGTGTTGGGAGTCAGATTTTAGGAAGGGATCCGTATGGGTGGCTTTCCTGTAGACAGAGTGACCAATTGAGCCATCCGGTCTCTTTTCGATTAAAACTTCCAAGAATGGTAGCTTGCCATCCTTTTCCAATGGTGAATTTGATGGCTGGGTGTATGGAATGAACACTTTGCCTTCAGAGGCTAACCCCCTTTTTCTGATGACGACCAATTGTATTGCGATCGAAACGTCATAGTTTTTGTCATATTCTTTTAACCTATCTACGTGACTTTACTGAAAGACCCAAATAATATCTTACGCATACTTTAACAACATATTAATATTCCATAATTCAGACACGTAAGTATGATAATGTAATTTGTAAATTACAGAGAATTGTGAAGATCTGGATCAAACATATGTGACAGTGATTGTCAACTGTGTCAGATACCATTCTTATGGCAGGAACTAAGTTTGCTAATCTATAACAGTAACAATGTGTAGTGACATCGCGGATGTCACTGTGCAAAGCCGGCCCTAGCGAGGCACGGCGTGCGATGTATCGACATCGCGGACACCACGTATGCGTGAGTGCACTACCAGCTCTCGAGGGGCTCGGTGAGCGCTGACAGCGCTGGATGGCACCACGCTCTGCGTGCAGTGCCGGCCCCTACAGGATAGGGTGTGGGAGTGCCAGCCACGGGAATGGGGTTACTATAGACCGTGGCACTCTGCTTTACCCCAGAGGACACGTGACCAGTTCAGTCTACACAGGAGTCCCACGTGGGGGCTAAGGGTGGTCACGTGTCAGGTCCGAGATCCTGCTCCCCCAGAGGGACCGGCTGCTGTTGTTTATCCTGAAGAAACCTTCATCTACGTTCAACGTCCTCCGAGTCTACAACACGTGGACCTGGACCCGAGCTGTGGTCCGGTCCATTGTAGCAGTTACGGTGTAATTAGTGTAGTTAGCCTGGTGGTCCACCACCATAGCTTGTTATATGGTTAAGGGGCAGTTATCCCTTTGTGTTGGTATTAATAAATGTGTTGCCTCCAAAGAGTATGTCTGCGACTCAGTTGAACTCACTACAAATGTATCAATTTCATCTGCCAATGAATAACTATATTATTGCCTTTTCCCCCCTAACTTTCCCTTTGGAGCAGAAACTGGTCGTACTACTACTCCTGGACCTGGTAAGAATCCACGTCTCTCTTGTGTACATCACAGTGGTGCCACTGTCACATTTGTTTGTGGAACCAAACGTGAAAAAGTACCGTGCAACAAAGTCTTGAATGTTGTAGTGTCAAAACTTACGATGAACAAATGAAGCACACGAGCCTCACCTGGTGCACGGAATAACAGTGATGTCTTTCTGCAGTCGGTTGCCAGTCCTACCCGTGCCTGAACGGTGGTACTTGTGAGGATCAGTGGTCATACCCCGGCCACTGGTGCTCCTGCAGCCCACCGTGGTCCGGCAGAAACTGTGAATATGGTGAGAGGACATCGCGGTCTTTGTGCTTCTGTCCTTGCACCCACATTTATTTACGTCATCGGCCATGGTCAATGATCCCAGGTACACCCCTGCCTCACCATGGTCAATGATCCCAGGTACACCCCTGCATCGCCATCCCACTCTGACCAGTGTGATGAGATCTCATCTGACATGACTGACACAACGTGGGGAAGCCCCTCATCCAGCAGTGGACTTACAGTGAGTGGCTCATTGTTTTATAATCCAACAGTAGGTGGGATTGTACTCGGCACAAATCAAAATTGGCCCAAGCAGAAAGTGGTTGTTTGTCGCTATGGTGAAGAGTGACCGACAGTTTTGAGGCAAAGCACACCAGCCAGCCCATGACGTGCCCATGTTGAACCAGCGACCCATCCGGCCACGAGTTCTCACCTCTCCACTCACTGTAACCCTGACCTCGACTCCACCTGCTTTAACCATGCTCCTATTTAATGTCTTTTTCACTCTTTCAATTTTGATATGCGCCACACATCAAACACTTGTATGCATTTTGTAATGATTAATGCATTGTTACGCGTATGTTCACTAAACAAAATGAGTGCTCATCAACAATAGGGCTAAACTAAAAATAGAAACAAACCACCCTAATCGATATCGTTGTATGTTTGTCTCTTGTATGGTTGCAAATTCATCATCTGCAGCGATCACGACTGGTAAGTAATCTCGTCAGCGCTCTTCACAAGGTGGTCCTATTGGGTTGCCCTCTAACTAACGTGCATGGAACGTCCGTTGGTAACATTGCTTGGTGAAATCGGTTGTTGTGGTATGAACACAGTATAACATATCGTAGGCATAAATCTTGACTTAAAGCTTTCGTGACTGCAGGAATTCATATTATTTGGGTCTTTCGGTAAAGTCACGTAGATAGGTTCAAAGAAAATAACAAAAAACTATGACGTTTCGATTGCAACACAAGCAGTCGTCATCAGAAAAAGGGGGTTAGCCTCTAAAGGCAAACTCTTTATAAAGGTTTGAAATGGGCATAGCCCAAGTGTCATCAGCATGGGCGGAGCCGCTAATGTTAATGTAAGTGTAATATCTTCAATAATGGCGGGAGACGAGTTGACGGGGCAGCACTGTTTATTCACAACGGTTGCACACGTAACAGTCCCAACCGAGATAACACCTATGTCACACGTGCCTGACTCGGCCACGCACTCCGTCTTCCCCGTGGGGTACGCGCACCTAACTCTGCCTCGACTCAGGCTCTCCGGCTACGCTCTCCCCACGGGGAGCTATCAGACCCGCCTTGTCAGGCCACGGGTCTCGACCACTGGGCTACACAGCCCGAGCCCTTACAAGGGCGTCGGACCGTGAATCCCAAGGCCTCGCCTCTGAGCCTCACAGAACCCCGGCCCTTACAAGGGCAGTGGGGCTAGGGGTCCCAGGACCTATCTCTTCCTCCGTCTTCTGTCTTCACTGGTTACCAACTCCCCGAGTGCCATCGCGCATCGCCTTACATAGCCCTCCGCTCCCGAGGGGGCGGAGCCTATGCGGACCGCGATGTGAGCACTCACTTGATGTAACCAATCACCCCGCGCTGCCTCACGATCCCTCCTGCCAGCGCGTATCACCACTACATAAGTGATGGTACTCGTAGAGGGCAACGACGGCACTGGTGGTGGGTTTGCACCAATTATAGGGCGGCCAAGTAATCATTGCACCTCGCTTTACACACTCACATTGTTGACGGTGGAGTTTGCTGCTAGAAGAGATGGTACTCGCAGAGGGCAACGACGGCACTGGTGATGGGTTTCCACCAAAAAAGGGCTACTGCTAGTGGTGATGGTAGTAGTGGGCAACGACGGCACTGGTGGTGGGCTTCCACCAATTAAAGGGCTGCCAGGTCTAAAATGGAAACATTACAGCCAGTTTTGACTTAAACTGGTTGATAACATCCTTCCAGTAATTGCCGAGTTAGTACCCATCTTCTCGGTGGAAATTGTGTCCATGTCTGTATATATGGATGGCTTCATGAACGAATCTTTGTTGATAGCCAGTGGGTTTGCAAAGTACCTTCGTCTTAGAGAAATCAATTTCGTGTGAGCCCACCACATTAAAACAATGATCAGCCATGGCCGAGGTATTGGTCCTTCCATCTTTCAGATCTGCCTTATGTTCACGAACACGGTCCGAGACATGTCACTTAGTTTCCCCAATGTAACTACTGCCGTAGACACAGCATAGTTTGTAGACGCCAGTGTATTGCATGTCAGGGATCACATCCTTCACAGATGGGATCAGATCACGAATTTTACGTACTGTGTTAAATAGAACCTGGATCTTGTGTTTGCTTATGCTTTTGGAAATATTTTTGGTGACCCCTGCTACAGTATGTATGGAAAGGTGATGATTTTGATTGAGTCCTCAGATGGTTCTTTCCCAACGGTTGGGGTGAAAGCTTTACGGATTGTCTGGTCTGAATATCCATTTGTCTTGAGAGCTTGGTGTACGTGTTCCAGTTCACTGGATAGGTGGTGATGGTTGGAAATACATCGAGCTCTATGGTGTAGAGTTTTGATGAGGGAATTATTCTGGGATGGATGGTGGTGGGAGTCAGATTTTAGGTAGGGATCCGTATGGGTGGCTTTCCTGTAGACAGAGTGGCCCAATGAGCCATCTGGTCTTTTTTCGATTAAAGCTTCCAAGAATGGTAGCTTGCCATCCTTTTCCACCTCCATTGTGAATTTGATGGCTGGGTGTATGGAATAAACAGTTTGCCTTTAGAGGCTAACCCCCTTTTTCTGATGACGACCGCTTGTGTTGCGATCAAAACGTCGTAGTTTATTTTTATTTTCTTTGAACCTATCTGCGTGACTTTCCCGAAAGACCCAAATAATATCTTACGCATACTTAACAACATCTTAATATTCCATAATTCAGACACATAAGTATGATAATGTAATTTGTAAATTACAGAGAAATGTGAAGATCTGGATCAAACATATGTGACAGTGATTGTCAACTGTGTCAGATACCATTCTTATGGCAGGAACTAAGTTTGCTAATCTATAACAGTAACCATGTGTAGTGACATCGTGGATGTCACTGTGCAATGCCGGCCCTAGCGAGGCACGGCGTGCGATGTATTGACATCGTGGGCACCACGTATGCGTGAGTGCAGTACCAGCTCTCGAGGGGCTCGGTGAGCGCTGACAGCGCTGGATGGCACCACGCTCTGCGTGCAGTGCCGGCCCCTACAGGATAGGGTGTGGGAGTGCCGGCCATGGGAATGGGGTTACTAAAGGCCACGGCACTCTGGTTTACCCCAGAGGACACGTGACCAGTTGAGTCTACAGAGGGGTCCCAAGTGGGGGCTAAGGGTGGTCACGTGTCAGGTCCGAGATCCTGCTCGAGGATTCTCGAAGGTGGTCGTGGCTAAGGGCGGAGCCAGCCACGCCGCAGAGGATATAAGCCGGGTCCCCCAGAGGGACCGGCTGCTGTTGTTCATCCTGAAGAAACCTTCGTCTACGTTCTATGTCCTCCGAGTCTCCAACACGTGGACCTGGACCCGAGCTGTGGTCCGGTCCATTGTAGCAGTTACGGTGTAATTAGTGTAGTTAGCCTGGTGGTCCACCACCATAGCTTGTTATATGGTTAAGGGGCAGTTACCACTTTGTGTTGGTATTAATAAATGTGTTGCCTCCAAAGAGTATGTCTGCGACTCAGTTGAACTCACTACAAATGTATCAATTTCATCTGCCAATGAATAACTATATTATTGCCTTCCCCCCCCCCCTAACTTTCACTTTGGAGCAGAAACTGCTCCTACGACTACGCATGGACCTGGTAAGAATCCACGTCTCTCTTGTGTACATCACAGTGGTGCCACTGTCACATTATTTGTGGAACAAAACGTAAAAAAGTACCGTGCAACAAAGTCTTGAATGTTGTAGTTGCAAAACTCCCGATGAACAAATGAAGCACACGAGCCTCACCTGGTGCACGGCATAACGGTGATGTCTTTCTGCAGTCGGTTGCCAGTCCTACCCGTGCCTGAACGGTGGTACTTGTGAGGATTGGTGGCTCTACCCCAGCCACTTGTGCTCCTGCAGCCCATCGTGGTCCGGCAGCAACTGTGAATATGGTGAGAGGACATCGCGGTCTTTGTGCTTCTGTCCTTGCACCTACATTTATTTACGTCATCGGCCATGGTCAATTATCTCAGGTACACCCCTACTTTGCCAACCCACTATGACCAGTGTGTTGAGGTCTGATCTGACATGACTGACACAACGTGGGGAAGCCCCTCATCCAGGAGTGGACTTACAGTGAGTGGCTCATTGTTTATACTCAATCCAACAGCAGGTGGAGTTGTACTCGGCATAAATCTCAATTGGCTCTTCCCCCCTCTCTTACCTATATAGCCTCTTGTTACAGCAGCCCTTTTGCCCACTTCAGAAATTGTTTCTTGCTGTGCTTGTCCCACCTGATGACGGACGCGTGTGTTGCGCCCGAAGCGTCGTGATTTAATTTATTTTACTTTATACCTACGTGACTTTACCGAAAGAACCAAAGAGTATGTCTGAAAGTGGTTGTTTGTCGCCATGGTGAAGAGCGACCGACAGTTTTGAGGCAAAGCACACCAGTCAGCCATCAGGAGCCCATGTTGAACCAGCGAGCCATCCGGCCACGAGTTCTCACCTCTCCACTCACTGTAACCCTGACCTCGACTCCACCTGCCTTAACCACGCTCCTACTTAACGTTTTGCTCACTTTTTCAGTGTTGATGTACGCCACACACCAAACACTTGTAAATTTTATTTTTTATAATTAATGCATTATGTGTATGTTCACTAAAGAAAATGAGTGCTTATCAACAATAAAGCTAAACTAAAAATAGAAACAAACCACCCTAATATATATTGTTGTACGTTTGTCTCTTGTATGGCTGAATATTCATCATCTGCAGCAATCACGACTGGTAAGTTCTCACGTCAGCACTGTGCATGGAACGTCCGTTATTAACGTTGCTTGGTGAAATTGGTTGTTGTGGTATGAGCGCAGTGTAAATTTCTCGATCAAAACATCCAAGAATGGTAGCATGCCATCATGTTCCACTTCCACCCATCTATCAAATTCACCATGGAAGTAGAAAATGATGGCAAGCTACCATTCCTGGATGCTTTGATCGAGAAGAGACCTGATGGCTCGTTGGGACACTGTCTATAGGAAAGCCACCCACACGGATTCCTATCTAAAGCCTGACTCCCACCACCATCTAGCCCAGAATAATTCCCTCATCAAAACACTACACCATAGGGCCTGTTGCATCTCCGACCAGCACCACTTAGCCAGTGAGCTTGAACACGTACGCCAGGCTCTCAGGAGGAATGGATATTCTGACCGCACAATCTGCAAAGCTGCATCCCCAACCATGGGTAGAGAACCATCTGAGGACCCAATCAAAACCATCACCTTACCATACATAGCAGGGGTTACCAAATAGATGGCCAATATCTTGAACAAACACAAGATCAAAGTTCGGTTCAATACAGTACACAAAATCCGTGATTTGATCCCATCGGTGAAGGATGCAATTCCGGACATGCAATGTCCTGGTGTCTCTAAGCTGAGTTGTGTCTGCGGCAGCAGTTACATTGGTGAAACGAAGAGACGTGTCTCAGACCGGGGTCGCGGACACAAAGCGGATTTGAAACACGGCAAAACCTCCTCAGTGGTGGCGGATCATTGTTTCAACGCTGTGGGCACACATGCCATTGTTTTCTCCGAGACCAAGGTGCTCTGCAAACCCGCAGGCCACCATCAGAGATTTGTTCATGAAGCCATCCAGATATACAAACACCGACAAAACGTTAATCGAGAAGATGTATTCAGATTGAGCAATCATTTTAAGGATGTGATAAACCGCGTCAAGTTTTAACTGCTATGATTTTCACTCACCCACCCGTGTGTCTTGTTGTCCGATTTCTAATTCAAGTTAATTTACTTGCTAATTTATCCAGCCCCACCCGTCCATGCACGCCACAAACCCTCCCCCCTCTCTCCCGTGAACTCCTACAGCCACGACTCGACAAACTCCTTCCTCCCCATTCCCCCACCCTCCCGTGCCTATATAAAGTTGAAAGTTTCATTAATTAGGTATAGCCCTGTGAGCCATGCGGCTCTTGAGTCGGGTGCAACCGCAACAAACAAAATATGAACACAGAACGTCTTAAAGTGACGGCGCGCAACAGAAACATCCTGGATAAACCAGCAAATCTTCCAGAAAAAAACACCGTATTACAACGCCGTGTGCAATAATCCCAGTATGATGCAAGTCAAACAATAACAACTATAAGACAATTTAGATTAACCATGTTTTCGAAATCACCGAAATAAAGCTATAAAAACAATGTAAAAACAGTAATCATAGGAACTGTGATTCAAATTTAACAATAAACGATATATAACATGTACGACCAAACTTGCTGTCATAGCTGGCAGCATGACACTCCCAGTGTATGATGTGTGAGTGAGTTAGCGTATGATGAGTGAGTGAGTTAATGTAAGATGAGTGAGTGTATCACGGCATCCTCCTCGCCATCACGGCCTCCTCGCCGCCATCACGGCCTCTTTTCTGACATCAACGGCCTCCTCCCCTCGGCTCCCTCGGCTCCGTCGGCTAAAGCCACAACAGCAGATCAATTTTTTTATCAACTGAAGACGGACGCTTGTGTTGCGACCGAAACGCCGTGTTTTTTTTTTTTCACCGTATCTTTACCGAAAGAACCATTGCGAGTGCATTATTATGTTTAACATACCATATGTGTTGTTGCTCTGGAGACCGGGAGACCGATGACCGATGTTCGGTGGCTGCATCGACGGCATTCGTCGGGATATTTAACTGATCACCTCAAAGATACTCGTGAGCGGCATAGAACACGTGTGCGGTCTGATTCTGTGTGTATCTTGTTCCATGTGTGCGTCACGCGGATCAGAAGCACCCACCACTCCACCCGGTAAGACTGAACTCGTTTGGGTTGGGCAAACAATCAAAAAGAATGGCCATCTCTCTCCCGTGTTAATATTCCACTCGAGATGTAGATTTATATTTAATTTATGGATAACCTCTCGAAAGAAAAATGGCATTTCCACAACTCGCTTAGGCACCGCGTTGGCGAGATGTTAACTACCTCGCCTGGTATACGGGAGGTCGTAGGTTCGATCCCGACCCTGACTACGCCTGCTGTTATTTTGAGATTGCATGTTGTCCCCGTGGTCGCGTGGATGTTTTTCCGGGTCCTCCGGGTTTTCCCTTCACATTTAGAATCACGTGTTGCGAGTATTTGTCTGCTATAGATGTCCACGTGATTTTCCACTTTGTTGAGCTGTCGTTTGAGGCCAGATGGCTTCTGAAAAAGACATAAATAGCTCAGTGGGCCTTGCCTGGCAAAATACATAAATAAATAACAGTTTCTGGTGACCCACAGATTAACCCAGCATTCAACATCAACGTTCGGCAACAGCAGTAACACACTATTGTGTACACACTCGCACACTTCTTGCAGACATGAAGCTGATGAACTGCACGTCGCGCTACATGGAGCTGCAGATCCCGCTGAGCGAACTGAGCGAGCTCGGCCTCTCGTCGTCCGACGTCCACCTGGAGGACCCCTCGTGCCTTGGCTCCATCTCGGGGCAGTACCTGGTCCTGCACACCGACCTGCACGGCTGTGGCTCCACGCTGGAGGTATCAATCAGCGCGGCCGAGAGGCCTGGATGGCCGCTCTCACCTAGCGAGTGAGCACGCGCGATGGGCAAAGAGACCGCGATTCCGCACCCAGTTGTGTTTGGGCCCAAGCTGTGATGGATGGTGTGCAGGGGGTCGTCGGTTCGACCCCGACCCTGACGCCTGCGGTATATTTGGAGTTTGCGTGTCTCTCTCTCCCCGTGGCCGAGTGGATTTTTCTGCGGGTTCTCCAGTTTTTCTCTCCACATTTATAATCAACGTGCATTTAGGTATTTGGCTGCTATATATTTCCATGAGATAAGCCACTTCATTGGGCTACCATTTATGGCCAGGTCGCTTCTGAAAAAGATTTTTTTAGCTCAGTGGGCCTTACCTGGTAAAATGAAACAAATTGTTTAGTTTAAATCGTCGCAAATATCAGCAGCCGAGCGGCTACAGCTCCTCCTGGAGGCTCTATCACGGGTTTCAGCAAAGCAGGTCACCATGGGGGAAAAATTACTGAAGCTTGAATCTCCGCACTGCCCAGAAGTGGTTGTGGCAGCAAGACACGAGGCTTAGGGTATTACCTGCACCTGACACCTTGAAATCCATGAACTGTTCATCCAATACAACTTGTATGATGTGGGTACGCACACCAGTGTGTGCGGCTCTGTACATTGTCGCAACACACGCTTTTGTTCTTTCCATGCTGTTCTTTCTCTCTGCGTCTCTCCCCAGACAACCGATTCCGACACCATCGTGTACTCGAACACGGCCTACGGCTTCGTGCATGGAACCCGAGTCAAGAAGCTGCGCGTCCCCATGCGCTGCTACATCGGCTCCGAGGGAAAGGTCATCGCGAGCTTCGCTCCCAGGTAACAAAAGCAGCAGCCACTCACCAACAAGGCACAATCCCAGTTACTAATCCGCGATGAGTGACCACACGAGTGCGGGACGCATCTGCAAAAGGGCATGGCGATGCTTATGAGAGGGACATCGGATTATAAACCTTCAGGTGGTGGTGGGCTTGTAAGACGCGTGCGCTGACGTGTCACTGCGGGTGTCTGTGCGCCCCTCGTCTCGCTGCAGGGTGTACGACAAGTACAGCTCGGGCACCTTCGACCTGAGCATCGCGATCTACACCAGCCAGGCCTTCAGCCAGGCCGTCCGCGCGTACCCATTCGAGGTGGACCTCGGAGCCCCGATCTACGCAGAGGTTGGAGAGACGAGCTTGCGTTGCGCCCACCGCTCTCGGTCGCACGGCAGCGTGACAAGCTTCATTTGAAGCTCTCATAGGTCCTTTCGCTCTTTCTCTCCCCCTGCCGCCGCGGGGTGGATTTCCACACAACTCTCTCATTGACATGCTAATGTCTCTGCTCCAGCAGACCCACCTCTCTCTCTCTGCCCCCCCCCTCTCTCTCTATTTAAGGCCACGATACAGAGGCATTGGGTCTCTGTGTGTCTATGTTGTGTGTCTCTCTCTGTGAGTCTCTGTGCTGTCTCTCCCTGCTTGTGTGTCTCTCTGTGTGTCTCCGTGTCTGTGTTTTGTCTCTTTCTCAAATTTAGTTCTACCTGATGACGATTGCTTGTGTTGTAATCGAAACGTCGTATTATATTACTTAATTTATTTTCTTTCTACGTGACTTTACCGAAAGAACCAAAGAGTGTAACACGAGGCACTGCCCATGGCTGCCATCACATAGTTGCTGGATTGGTCGCGTCGGCCGGTGAAAGCCAAGGGCTCAACCGAAGTCGTCACAGCTACGTGAACGGCGTGCCGACTGTGCGCTTGGCCGGGTCACCCAATGACCACTTTCACCTCGACCCAACGATGACGCAATCCTCTTGTTTCACCAGATGCTGCTCAACTCCTACGATAACAGCCTGCAGCTCCTGCTGGAGACGTGCAAGGCTTCCCCGTACCCAGGCGCCGCCGACAGCGAGTCCTACTTCATAATTAGAGATGGGTAAGAGAATAAGAACTAGAGAAACGCTTTATTTTTTGTGAGTGACTAAAGCAGCCATAGACACGGTCCGACTTTCCAACTGTGCCCCATGAGGCGGACAGCGGTTCCACTTTAAGTTATTTTTTCTTTCTCTTCTCTCATCTGATAATGAACAAATATCATTTCATTCCACGTTGCATCATTGGCAAGTTGACGGTCAGACAGAGAAGTTGAAAGAAGGCATCCACTCATCGCTCCTCCTGCCCAAGACCTGGATGACTTGAAACACACTCAGAACTCGGCTGCTCTTGACCTATGTTCACTGGCTTCCTGTATAGATTGGAGTGGAGTTTAATATGATCTTTTTGACACATAATGTAGGTATGTAGGTTTAACTTATTCCGCACCGTACGTAGCCAACCATGCTGATCGATGATGCGGGATTAATTGTGACATGCCTAACAGCGGAATGCGGTTGTTGAATTGCCACGGTGTTATTATGAACGCGTACGCTCGAAATTACTCCTCTGAACTTGTGTTTTGTGGACTCTTTGTCTGCCAACTGCAGGTGCCAGGTGGATCCTTCCTACGCCACCTACTACAGCGGCGACGAGAAGAGGCAGCACTTCAGCTTCCAGAGTGTGGAGTTCTTCAGCGGATCCCAGGTGCAAAACGCTCATGAGCCCTCATCTGAGATGCCATTCGTAGTGGTCTCTCCAATGGTTAAAGTTGCACAGTGCCCAGAGTAAAATATTGATCACTCAAGACATACACTGTGGTCTTGAAAAAAAAAATCGTGTTTTTTTCTGAATTAAAAAAATCGCTCTTTGATAGCCGACCCCTAGTGTGAATGTTCAGAATTTGAAAAAAATACCCGCAAATTACTTAGTTCCCACGTAGCAATATCGCCCTCTGTTGGCAGCATCTATCAATTTACAGGCCGGTGTGGATTACACATTGAGCCCTCGGGGTCCCCTGCTCGTTACTGGGATACCTCCCCACCACACCCGAGGCGAGACTGCCAGGGGGAATTGAAATAATGGAGATAAAATGTTACATAAGGCACTTTGAAACGATAATGCATTGAAGCCCCACGACAAATGCAAGCCCTTGTCCATTTCAGGAATTTGCAGCTTGGGATCTTAAGAGAATTCCTTTAAAAATAAAAATGTGAGTGTCCTGATATAGACCAAAAAAAACTTGCATATGAATATTAAAATATTCAGACTCCGAACATATAGCCTGTCAAAAATAGTTTGTACGTGGGTAAATACTTTGTACATGTACTAACCATTTTCCTCTACTAAACATTCCATCGATGTTTATTTGTTACGTTGAAAGTTCCCACTGCATTGTAGGCATGTGCCAGCAAACCCAATAATGGCAAAGACTGTGATGCGAACATGAGCTGGGAAATCCTTTATGTATTTATTGACCTGACCACAAATGGTAGCTCACCGAAGTGGCTTATCACGTGGACATTAGTCGCAGCCAAAATACTCGAAACGCAAGTTTCTAAATGTGGAGAGAAAAACCTGAGGACCCGGAGAAAAATGGACGTGACCACGGGGAGAGAAAACATGCAAACTTCAAATATACAGCAGACGTCAAGAGTCGGGATGTAACACAAATCAACCTTAAAAAAGTAACATCATATGTCTCAACATGCATGTACCTCATCTAATGGTTAAACAAACGACACAACTACGACTACTGCATCAACTCCTCCAATTAGCACGGTTGGCTATGTATGGTGCGAAAGAAGTTTAAGTATACGTACATAGATACATCGGTGTCTGTTGATGTCCCTGGGCAGGTGTACCTGGAGTGCAACGTGCGCGTGTGCAACATCTCGGACGTGAGCTCGCGCTGCCGGCGAGGGTGCGTGCGGTCCAAGCGCTCCGTGCGTGACCTCGTCGGCCCGGAGAATCGCGCCGAGCACAAAGTGGACCTCTCCCAGGGCCCCGTGCTGCTCCGCAAGACGCGCCAGGGTGAGCTGACGTTGGTTCATCGGTCGATGATCTCCAGTATGCTGGCAGGATATATACATATGTGGTGGTACGAATCTCGTGGCCGCCACGGTGGCGAAGATGTTAACTATCTCGCCTGGTATACAGGAGATCGTGGGTTCCATTCCGACCCGGACGCCTGCTGTATGTTTGGAGTTTCCGTGTCTCTCTCTCCCCGTGGCAGCGTGGATTTTTCTCCGGGTCTTCCGGTTTTTCCCTCCACATTTAGAAACATGCGTTTAGATTATTTGGCTGATATAAAATTCCACATGATAAGCCACTTTGTTGAGCTATCGTCTGTTGGCCGGGTCGCTTCTGGAAAGGAGCTACATTGCTCAGTGTTCCTAACCTGGTAAATAAAAAAATAGTTTAGTTTATATATTTTTAACACACCTCGCCAACAATTGTTTAGTTTTTTTCAACATTTCCCACTAAAATTGAGATTTACGTCCTACCAGTATTTATTGGCCGTTCCTGTTCGGGGGCCACTACACGAAATGGGTGGAGCAGGCCTGCTAGCGGGTGTGCCCCTCGATATTACGTCAAATGTAGTCATGAACTGAACGATGCCGTGAAAGTGACCTCATTTCGATAGCACAATTGCGATACGGTTAGCGACGTCAACAAGACATATACTTATGCACTTTGCACTTGTATCCTTTTTTTACGTTATTAATTTGAGTGACTTGCTTACCTTTCCGCTACTCTGCACTCCTTATCATTTAGTTTTTTGTACTGTTGTTGTAACTTTCTGACCCCGTGCCCCCTACTGGACATCTGTAATAAAAGAGCTTCACAACTCATCGGATTCCTCCTCCGGGATAAATAAATATTCTGACTACGGTTCGCGAGGCACCGCTGAGACCCGTCCATCCGATGGGTGCGGGGTGGACTTGTTGTTGTTGTGACTGCCGTGTTTATTATCCCCGCAGCTTCCGAAGTGAGCGGCGCGCTATCCGGAATGGTGTACGCGCTCGCCGCTGCTCTGACCGTGGCCGCTGTGTGCGTGGCCGCGGTGAAGATCTTCCGCCTGCGCAGCGCCGGCGCCCAGTACCAACTTCTCGTCCCCAACGACGAGTGAAGAAGGGGCGAGAGGTCGCGCACTATTTAACCAGGGGCGCGCACCTTACTTACTAATTCTTCCTTCTGCCTAATTGCACATGTAATCTAATCATTGGAGAGCGCTGATCAAATACTTTTTCGCGTGATCGAGAAGCACAATTGCTTTTTGTGTTTAGTTTGTTGTCCTTCCCCGGCACCTCCGATTGGCACGGTTCGCTACGAACGCTGCGAAAGAGGTTCAACGTACTTACATAACAACTTTGATTTGAACTTGCAAAGTCTCAGGTTTTATCACGAAGGTGGTTTGTGACAATCCTGCACTGAATGATACCATTAGGATGCGCTAACGCTACGCGCGCGATAATATCCACAATCTCTCTTGAGTTGATGTAAGGCTGAGCTGAGTGCTGTTCGCAGTGTGTGGCGTGTTCAGTGGTGGGATCGAGCACCAGGTGTAACACATTTTGATTCCAACTATACGTATCGAGTGCCATGTGTTCACTTAATTCTGTGTTGTAAAATGTCAATAGGAGAGCCCTTACATTTATCTCTGATTAAGTAATTGTTTAAAAAATGTTAATTGCTATGATTGAAGTTGATGGCTTCCTGTGTGAAGAGTATGGACCTGGCTGAGCGTGTCCATGTTTAGGTCTGCTCATTAAACGCACTTTTCTCTGCAAAACTTGTCTCAATGAACATGTCATCAATGAGAACGTATCAGTAGTACGCCTATAGACGTTTTGTCAACCCACAGCCGGATGATGGTCTACCCATGCCCCTGCCTAACTTGGAGGTTAGTTTACCTTATTTCTCCACGCTGGTGAGCATGGGCTGGCAGCATTAACGTATAGCACAAGGATTGACTTTGCTCCACTGCCCACAATGTGTATATCCACACAGCCCTGTCACAGAGCCTGTGTGGTGATGTCCATGGTGGTCACCCATCCCAGCACCATCCAGACTCAGACCTGCCTATGCTTCGAGATTGGGCACGTTTCGGGCGATCTGGTCACAGACCTATGTTAGATAATCAACCGCAAGAGACCATTTGCAACTGTAAACATATAAATATCCAGTACCATTTAAGGCATCGTCATTTCATATGGCATATGAAAAACAACTGACACCCATTCTAACTCTATACATGAAGTAGAGTACATCCCAGACTATGGTACAGTATATGTATCTTGTCTGGTATATTCATCGAGTATATACCAAACTATGCACACAGAGAGGCTCTACAACACATTCGACCACTATCGAGTCACGACACAGCCAACACGATCGCTTGCAGCATAGTATCGACAAGGCTCGATTATTGCAACCTCGCTACTATACGGGACGTCTGCCAAAAACATTAGCAAGCTGCAGCAGCGTGTACGGGTACTGTGAGATCCGACCGTGTCCGTCCAGTGCTCGTTGAGCTGCACCAGCTCCCAGGCTTATGGCTGGCCATCGAACAAAGACGGTCACTGTATCGCATGCGGTCAGATGTGCTTCTGCGGCCGTCTGGAATGCTCTTCCGATATCAGGAAGCCACTGGAGCTATGCACTTCCAAGTCATCCTGATTTAAAACTCATTTTTTGGGACTGATTTTTGTATTTTTTTCTAGATTTGAAGCTTTCGTGACTACAATGATTCATATTCTTAGGTTTTTTCGGTAAAGTCACGTAGGTAAAACAGTAAAATTAATAAAAGTTAAATAAAATAAAAATCACGACGTTTCGGAGGCAACACAAGCTTCCGTCTTCAGGTGGAACCGTCACAGCCACGACAGCTGTATGAAGTAAATGAGAGATTGCAAGAGCTACCACTCCGTATATATAATGGTTGGAGAGGGGGGAAGGGCCAAGTACGGCACACTTTTATTCATATGGTAAGGTAAGGCTTAAGAGGGTGAGCCTTTGTATTTTTAGTTTGTTTTCCTCCCCCCCCGCACCTCCGATTAGCACGGTTGGCTACATACGGTGCGAAAAAGTTCTACATATACACACAGATCACCGACCACCGCTGATCTTTGCGAATACGTTCTCATCTGGAAAAGAGCCGTGTCATAAGATGGACATTGCCCACAGCCACACGGTTACAACCAACACGAGCACTTTCACAAATTCACATCGCTCGTTCTACTCTCTATGCAGAATCGGAATCTCTCTGCAGGCTGCAGGAGGATAAATCCGCATCTCCGCTCCTCACCGCCCTCTCCTACTGCCAACCCCGCCGTTAGGGACTTTTTTTGGGGTCAGGTATTTACACACCCACGCCCGGTGCAGCCACTGGGTGTCACAGTTTACGTTATAGACTCGTCCCAGTTTGTGTTTCAGCCCTCGCCACTCGCTCCGTGGACCATCGCGCCCACGACGCTTTTCTTGTGAACTTTATCCCACTCTGGCCCTCTTGAAAAGGACACTTTAGAGAATGGGGTTTGTTTCAAAAGGAAAAAATCGTGTTTATTGTATTTGTTGTTGTTGTAAATGTACACGTCTATAACGACTACAACTTTTTTTGATCTTCTTCCCCGGATGGATATGGCACCGCTGGTTGTTTAAAATCGAGAAACACTTCTGTTAATACTGTAACAAAAACACGCGCACACTACCACATCCGCCTACGGCTTTCCCGTCTCCCCCCTTCATTTAACATTGTAGAATTTTACAGAGGGGGCAAACCGCGTGCTCTCACGAATAACAGCACTGGGCTGAATGTTTGGTTTGTTTTAATTGTTCACATTTAAAAGTTTTGCCTCTTTCCACTTACAAACTTTCTATCAATTTTCACAACCCCCCGCTCCATTTATTCCCAATATGAAAGCAGTTTATGTCAAGCCGGCTGTATGCAAGCAAGATGTGTTTTATTTATGGCTCCGTGCCTATCTCCGCGTGGTTCCACGTCCTGTTTATACCCCCACTGGGGCCGCAAGAGCCGTGGACGCCTCATATCAGACAGGGCCACGTGGTGTGTACAGCGACACGTGCGTGTGTGTCCGCTGTGGGATGGGGAGCGGTGGCACAATGGTTAGCGCACTGCACTACGAATCCGATTGGGAAGCTGTGACCCGGGTTCAACTCTCAGCCAACATCGGTGCCGGATTAAGCTGGGCGGGGCCTGTAACAACTTTTTGGACTTCTGCAAGCCTCTTATATAATTGTTGGTGGAGAAATGGACAAACGGCCCACCGGGCTTCCACGATAGCTTAGTATCTGTGTATGTATATGTAAGGTTTTAAAGAGAAGTTGTGAAATGTATTTTTCGCCCGGGCAACGCCGGGTACTTCCGGTTACTATCTTATAAAGGGGCCCTAAAAAAAAAAACACATAAATATTAAAACACAAATGTTTAACTTGCACAGTAAAGTAATTGTATTTTTTCATTTGCTATGCAGCCAGATAATACGACAAAGCGCTAACCTTAAATACCCAGTCGTTCATAAAAGTCGAAGGCGGTATAGTACTATAGTAATAGAGCAAGTGCAGAATCACTGAACCGGAATTGATAGCTTAAAAGCATTTAACGCAGGGCCCTTGAAAGTGCGGGGCCCGTAGCTACTACATATGTAGTATATGTAGCTACTACACATGTAGTATGTAGCTACTACACATGTAGTATGTAGCTACTACACATGTAGTATGCAGTTACTACACATGTAGTATGCAGTTACTACACATGTAGTATGTAGTTACTACACATGTAGTATGTAGCTACTACACATGTAGTATGCAGTTACTACACATGTAGTATGTAGTTACTACACATGTAGTATGTAGCTACTACACATGTAGTATATGTAGCTACTACACATGTAGTATGTAGTTACTACACATGTAGCTACTTTTGCGATTTGGATAATCCGGCACTGGCCAACATCGGTGACGAATATCTGAACCGGTCTTGGGCCTCCCCTAGGTCGACTCGGCCTCAAATGAGTACGTGGCGCTGTGTGTGTAAACATCAGCACCGGGGAGACAAAGGCGGCGGGGCGTGGTGCTGGCCACCCACCCCTTCGTGTGCCGTGCCGGCCTTCAGAGGTGCTCGAAAACAGCACTTGCCACAAACGTCTGTTAAGGCTACGCGGGGGATCTTTGTCTTTGGTCTGGAGATTAATATCCCAACGGTTACAACAAACGCATTGTTCTAGTATCCTGAAAATTGACCTCCTGATTCCTAAGATACACACCACCACCATCATCACCATCATTATCCGCAGCAGAAATAGCATCTTAACCAGGAAGACATGATCCATGATACAAAAAAAACTCAACATATTCGTCGACAACACTGTGTACGCCTGGAAGGAAAGAAGTATATAATCGGCGACGTTTCGGCCAACGGCTCTTCTTCGGAGCACATCGTCTCCTCTAGATCTGCACAGCTTTAACATCATGGCTGCTTCACGTTGTCGCGTTCACGTGGTCCCCGCATCGACCCGGGGCCATTGTGGCCAGGACGCGCGTGCGTTGGTCTGTGGCCACCCCTCGCGCGCCCCACCACTCTCCACACGTGGCAGCTGCCTCTGCTGCCTCTCTCTCTGTGTGCGTCTCGGTCGCTGCTGGCCAACATCACTCGCCACGCCGTCGCTCTTCGTCGGGCGCGACTTGAAAGGCAAAGCGACATCGTCCCGTCTCCGTTCACACGCGGGCAGGTCCATTGTACGCCGTCACAAAGAATCGCGCTCATCGTTCAAATCATAACAATGCAGTTGAACAAACAAACACACGAATGTAAATGCCACAGCTGATACGAGACGAAAATGTTTTCACTTTTACCAGTTGAGGTCCACTGAGCTGCTGTTTTTTTTCAGAAGCGACCTGGCCACAAGTGACATCTCAACGAAGTGGCCTATCACGTGGAAGTGTATAGCAGACAAATACTCCAAAGGCGCGTTTCTAAACGTGGAGGGGAAAAACCGGAGGGCCCGAAGATAAATCCACGCGACCACGGGGAGAAAGAGACGTCGCAAACTCCAAATATACAGCAGCAGGCGTCGTCTGGGTCGAGATCGAACCCACGACCTCCTGTATACCAGGCGAGGTAATCAACATCTCCTAGCCACCGCGTCGCCCTGACGGAGATGTTTGTTCATGACGGTGACGACGACGGTGAAGACGACGACGTCGGTGTCACGAGGATAACTATGACGTTGATGACGTATGAGGGCCAGGGGTCGGCTTCCAAAGTAACAAGAAGTGAACAATTTTTTTGAATTCGGCAAACGCCCCCCCCCCCCTCAATATTTCAAGAGCCGCAATGTACCGCGGTGGTGAATGCGAGACGGTGGTTAATGAGAGACGGTGGTGAATGAGAGATGGTGGTGAATGAGGTGGTGAATGAGAGACGGTGGTGAATGAGATACTGTGGTGAATGAGAGACGGTGGTGAATGAGAGATGGTGGTGAATGAGAGATGGTGGTGAATGAGATACTGTGGTTAATGAGAGATGGTGGTGAATGAGAGACGGTGGTGAATGAGATACTGTGGTGAATGTGGGATGGTGGTGAATGAGGTCGTGAATGAGAGACGGTGGTGAATGCGAGACGGTGGTTAATGAGAGATGGTGGTGAATGAGAGATGGTGGTGAATGAGAGATGGTGGTGAATGAGAGATGGTGGTGAATGAGATACTGTGGTGAATGAGATACTGTGGTTAATGAGAGATGGTGGTGAATGAGAGATGGTGGTGAATGAGATACTGTGGTGAATGAGATACTGTGATTAATGAGAGATGGTGGTGAATGAGAGACGGTGGTGAATGAGGTCGTGAATGAGAGATGGTGGTGAATGTGGGATGGTGGTGAATGAGAGACGGTGGTGAATGAGAGATGGTGGTGAATGAGGCGGTGAATGAGAGACGGTGGTGAATGAGAGACGGTGGTGAATGAGGTCGTGAATGAGAGATGGTGGTGAATGAGAGACGGTGGTGAATGTGGGATGGTGGTGAATGAGATACTGTGGTGAATGAGAGACGGTGATGAATGAGAGATGGTGGTGAATGAGAGATGGTGGTGAATGAGGTGGTGAATGAGAGATAGTGGTGAATGAGGCGGTGAATGCGAGATGGTGGTGAATGAGAGATGGTGGTGAATGAGAGATGGTGGTGAATGAGAGATGGTGGTGAATGAGGTGGCGAATGAGAGACGGTGGTGAATGAGAGACGGTGGTGAATGAGAGACGGCGGTGGTCCCCGAGTAAAGAACGCGTCACGGAGCGGCCCTTACAGCGTCACCTCACGCAGCGCCGGAGCCGCAGGTCGATTTGATTGGCCCGGTAGGCCTGTGACGTCACAGCCTCATCATCATTCATCCGCGTGCACGATGGCCTGAGGGTGGGGCTTTGTGGAGCCGCGTGGCCCGCCATCCCCCACCTGCCCCCCTCGCCCCCAACAATCACAGCTCGGTGCAGGGGATCGGCTTCCCCCCGCACCCCTCCGTGGACGCCTCTCCGCCCTGCAGCCCCCCCACGTGCGCCAGCGCAGAGACGTTGGTGGAAGACGTCGCGATGCGCCGCAGGTTTTCCAGGGACTGTCGCGGGGAGAGAGATTGAGAGAGAGAGAGCGAGACAGAGAGTGCGTTACGTCGTCGCATGCGGAGAGGGAGACAGGGAGACGAGTCGCATCTTGTGATTATCATCGCGCACCTTGCATCGTTTAGTCGATACAATGTAAGAATGCCGTGGCGGACACAGCCGACGCGTTGCCAATCCGCTGCTGGATGAGGGCCACGCGCCAACGTCGGCGCGACGTTACCGCGTACCTTCATGAAGGACCGGTGGGCCCGCTCCTCGTCCAGCGGCGAGGCGCCCTCGTCCTCCGCCTCCAGGATCTCCTCGAAGGTGATGGGCTGCGTCTTGTGGCGGCTGGCGCGCTGCTTGCGCAGGATGCCGCCTCGCGGGGTGGGGGGCGGGCTCGGCGGGGCCCTCACAGCCATCAGGGACGACGAGGCGGAGGTGGAGATTTTGGAGGAGGAGGAGGTGTTGACGACGCTCGGGCACGTCGTGGCGAGCAGTCCGGCTCCAGGGTCACAGATATCCATCGCTGAGTGCAGCGCTGCGACGGACACAGAGCAGGCGCGGGTGTAAGGCAGCACCTGGGGGCGCCACGGTGGCGAGATGTTGACTACCTCGCCTGGTAGGCAGGAGGTAGTTAGTTCGAACCGGAGCCTGATGCCTGTTGTGTATTTGGAGTTTGCGTGTTCACTCTCACCGTGGTCGCGTGGAAGTTTGCTCCGGGATCCCCCAGAGAAATGATAGGCCACTTCGCTGAACTACCATTTGATGGCCAGGTCACCCCTGAAAAAGAGCTATATAGCCCAGTGGGCCTTACCTGCTAAAATATATATAGACGTAGTGTTAGTTTAACTCACGCACTGTTACTGCCGTGTGTGCGGCGTGCCCGACGCTCACACCGACCGACGATTTAGCAGCGGAGTGAGGGCCGTGCAATTTCGCACGCGCCAGCAAACTTCGAGTGAAGGTGCGTGCTGACAGTTTTGGTTCGTTATGGGTTTTTTTTTTAAGTAGCTGTTGAGGGTAAGGATTATTAATTAAAAACGCCTCTGGTTTTGATCCTACCCCCGACAGGACCGATTCTGAGCCTAGATATGGGTTAGGACGAACAGAACCTCGCCTTTAGCTCTCACGCCGCGAGATAGACTCACAAAGGGGCACATGTTTGGCTGCGGTCATGAAAACATTCCTCCACACAGCTGCAATGCCAAAACATTCAAACCTTACAGCACAGAACACGAACTTGTGAACAACGTGTCGCGTTTACAGCTGGCTTACAGAGCAACACACACTTACCAGAGACTCGACGGACACGTAACACACTGTTCATTGTTTACTCTTGTATATCCAATAGATATCACAGGAAGCAAATAACTTTGTTTAAAAACAAACAATTCATAAAATAAATGTGCCCTCCACCGCCTTTCTCTCAGGCAGTCGTTAGCCGGGCTTCCAATCGCAAATCGCTGCGGTGGCGAGATGCTAACTACCTCGTCTGGTATACAAGAAGTCGTGGGTTCGTTTTCAACCCTGACGCTTGTATATATTTGGAGTTTGCGTGTCTCTCTCCACGTGGTCGCGAGGAATTTTTCTCAGGGTCCTCCGGATTTTACCCTTCACATTTAGAATTAACTTGCGTTTAGAGTATTTGGTGGCTATACATTTACACGCGATAAGCCACTTCGTTGGGCTATCATTTGTGGCCAAGTCGCTTCCTGAAAAAGGACTATAGAGCTCAGTGTGCCTTCACTGGTAGAATTTGTAAAAGTTTACTTTCGTTTAAATCGAAGCAAATTTCATGCAGCCGGACTGCGACAGCTCCTCCTGGAGGCTCTGTCAGAACCGAAGGACCAAGCGATGGTAAAGTCTGCGTTGTGTTCTACGTCACCCCCACTACCCTCCCCCCATACCCCACCCCCATGTCTCTTCTGTGAGATATATACGTGTATGTATGTTGAATTTCCTTAGCACTATATGTAAGCCAGCCTATGATGATTGGAGGTGCGGGGGAAGGACAACAAACTACACACAAGAAGCAGTTATAAATAAATTAGTTTTCAATATAGATCATGATTTAAAAGTGCACAGCTCTCAATGGATTCCTAATATCGGAAGAAAGAGCGTTCCAGACGGCCGCAGAAGCGCATCTGAAAGCGCGCGGATCATAAACCATCGTGCGATGGTTTATGATCCTTGACGAGATCAGCGAGGTATTGTGGTTCATCTTTGGCGAGCACTTTGTGTGTGATGAGTGCGATCTTATTATTCGTTCAACCGGAAGAAAATGCAGCTCGGGGTCATGAGACTGCCACCACATTGTCAGCTTCATCAAAGCCAAACAATTCAAAGTTTCAGGGCAGACTGAATTCCGTACTGATCGTGTCCTGTGAACAACGACTCACTGGCGGTGGGCCGAGCGTCGTCTATCAGCACCGTTCTCACTTTAAATGCGTCCCGGCAACGCAAGGCTGCCGTGTTGGTGGCCCAGAGGCAGCAATTAGGGACATCTTACCAAGTGGCGACACTGCACCATTGATGTTCAAACCTGTAAGTGACGAGAAACCGCCTGGTCCATAGAACGAAACCGGTCCGCTGTTTGTCGACCACTGCATTACTGCTGCTGCGTCTGTCAGCCTCGTCGCATTGGCACTTTAATCGCGACTCTTAAGAAAACCACGATGCACTTCTTCAGGAAGTGCTCATGGCGCTTTTTGAACATGATTTTTTTTAATGTTGGGTCGTGTTCGGAGCACGCACAAGACATCACATTACGCAGATACCCTATCGACCAATCTATTTCTCAATCACATATTGAATTTGCAGAGGTGTCGCTTGCACACCGTGGATGAGGCTGGGGCCATGTGCGTGACGAGTCTCATGTCGTGCACGGGCGGCTCCCTTGCCGCGTGAGGGCGAGCGTGGGGGTAGGGAGGGCCCAGCTCAGTGGCCCAAATTACAGCGACGGAAATTTGGCAGAGTCACCGTTGGACCAAACCCCATCTGCAGTTGCGCAAGCGGGAATGTAACGCCGCTGAAATTTATTTTTTTGCAACAAGTCAACAGCGCCACGGCTCTGAACAAGCGCCCATTAAACGCCGCTACGGCGAACGCCCACGCGCCGTGTTTTCTCGGTCATAATCGGCCCCATTTATAAAATGTACGGATGTACGTTGAACTTCGTTCGCAGCGTACCAGGCCAATCGTGGCTAATCGGAGGCGCGGGGGGAAGGACAACAAACTGACCACAACAAGAAGCAGGTTCTAAATAAATTAGTTTGTCAATGTAGATGATGATTTAAAAGTGCACAGCCCCCAATGGCTTCCTAATATCGGAAGGAAGAGCGTTCCAGATGGCCGCAGAAGCGCGTCTGAAAGCGCCGCGCGCCATGATACAAGCATTAGTGCGCAAGGGATGCAACGTGGGGTCCGCTCTCTCAGCACCGTTACAACGAACGCGTTAGCGCGCAACTCACTTGTAAGTGAAGATGCTCACGGTTTTCACCAACGACAGGCGGTGAACGCGCTTCGGGTTGCTGTGCTGTATTGTGAAGAGGGTTTACGACGCCGACTACCGGACACACGCGAGTTTGAGTGGCTCGAGACGCAACGGCGTCCGTCCACCCAATGCGAGCGTGCGTGTGTGTGTACGTGTGTGTGTGCGTGCGTGGTATGTACGTGTGTGGTTGTGCGTGCGTGTGCGTGCGTGTGTGTGTGTGCGTGTCGACAGGGCACCAATGAGCCAAATCCTGAGAGGATCCTTGGAGGAGAGATGGGCCTTTAAAGATCATTGGAGGATCATTGAAGGAGAGACGGGCCTTAAAAGAGGGTCGCCGTATGTCGCTAGATGTCGCTTTCTAAAACCCCAGAAATTGTCACTCCCACACACACTCACACACACACAAGCACACAAAAACAAACATGTGTGTTTTTTAACACTGAGTTTATATCGTAATTTTTTTGGTGTGGTTTTCATAGAAGCCCTCTTGGGTTTCCGACCTGACCTGCACACATTTTTTTAACCTTATTTTAATTTGCAATGTTTGTTTTCACTTTGTCTTTTCTGTGCGAATAATGAAATCAAATCACTGCTGGACGATTGACCAAGACGTCAAACGTCGTGGACTCCACAGCGTGTACTGTGTACCGTGGCTGGAATCCCTCTACTGCATCTGCACAATCGGGGGGGTGGGGTGTGTTGGGAATACCCCCCTCGGTTCCTGAAAGTCGCCGAGAGAGAGGGAGGGAGGGTGTTCACGCGAATCGATAAGATCGCCCAGTTGGCAACGCACCCACGCAACGCGCGAGGCGAACGCGTCTAACCGAACGTCGCGTTATCGTTCGGGCGCAACAGCGGCGTTGCTTCCTCTGGCCGTGAGAAGCCAACTTCACATCCATAGCGCACGTTGTTCGCCCAGCTGCGTTGGCGATTCCGGTTACTGAACGAATTTCGTTGTTCGAAGGTTCGCGCTCATTACACACACACACAGTGCTTGACGCAAAACGAATCACAAAAACCTCGCTGCTGATGTCGTCAAGGAGGGATAAAGCATCGCGCGAAGTCCTCGCCGCGGCGGCTTTTATCTGCCACCCATCGGGCAAAGACGGCGGTCACTGCGTCGCCGCGCGCTTTCAGATGCGCTTCTGCGGCCGTCTGGAACGCTCTTCCTTCCGATGTTAGGAAGCCACTGGAGCTTACGCACTTCGTCATATCGGTTGAACACTAATTTCTTTAGAACTCTTTTTTGTGTTTAGTGTTGTTGTCCTCCCCCCCCCCGCATCTCCGATGAGCACGGTTGGTTCCGTACGGTGCGAAAGAAGTTCAACATCCATATGAGCACCACACTGCTCAGTACGGGGTTAGTGAAATGGGGGTACGAGGGGGGGGGACTGTTTCAGATATCCACCACTCGCCACCGATGAGAGCCGTGGCCAGGAATCTAACTCAGGTGGCAGCGTAGTGTCGTGCGCTAACTGCTGCGCCACCGCCACCCACCATCATCACCGCAGGCTACAGAAAATAAACACATCTAGTGCTCGTCCACCACGTGACGGTGTCTCATTGTCGAGTCTATCGGCCTCGGGCCTTTCTAACCGCATTTGCTGAAACAAACTGTGGACCACTTACGATGTTGCTGGATCTCATCAGTAGAGCCCAGTGTGTGTGTGGGTTACGATGTTTCGATGTAAAGCTTTCGTGGCTGCAGGGATTCATCTTCTTGGTTCTTTCGGTAAAGTCACGTAGAAGGGAAATAATAAAATAATAAAAATAAAACATCATAAAATGCAATTCTCACGACGTTTCGGCCACAACGCAAGCAGCCGTCCTCAGGTGAAGAACAGGTCTGTCGGAAAGACAGCCCTGTTCTTCACCTGAGGAGCGCTACCTCCCGGGAGGCGTTCACGTAGGCGTACGTACCTGCGTGTGTCTCCCCTCTCTGCGTGTTCGCGGTGGCTCTCGGGTGAGGAAGTTCTTGCAAACAGCGGCAGCAAACAGGCGCTGGGGGCACCACTCCACCGATCAAGAAAGTCAGAAAAAAATATCCCGCGGGGCTGTTGGGTTCGCGGTCTAAAGAGAGCTTGCGACGATCTCCAGCGCTCCGCTGTCCCTCTCGTGGGCCGTCTTTCTCTCGCTCGCCGCCTGCTCCATCCACTCTGACGATACAATAGGTCACCTCGAGTCCACCTCTCCTCCCCCACCTCTCGCTCTCTCCCCCTCGAGATCTCCCACGCGCGCGTCGTCAGTTCGCGGTTGTCGCAGCGGCAACTGAGACCGTCGTCACACGGAGCCACGCCGCGGCCACAGCTCATGCAGAACCGACCCCTCTGTTACGGAGCGAGAGGAGGGAGGGGGGGGGGTCCTTCCTTACCCGCCGGCACGCCGCTTTCAGAAAGCAAATGCGTAAAAGTCACAAACGGCGAGTTCCTTCCACAACCCGGCCGAGGCTAATTGCTCATTAGCCGCAGCGCGCGCGTACGCGGCTTTGGGGTTGTTTCGGCCTCCCTCTCAACGGGAACCTGAAGCCCCAAATCGAGAAGTCGTCAAAGAGTCCCATTGAGACTCCTGGCACGGGCACGCCCCCCCCCCACGCGCCCCCCCCTCAGTGGCGTCACGCAGCGCGCGGCAGCGCCGCCTCGAGCCGGTTGACACGGGGAGGGGCAGTGGCGATGATATTGAGCAGAGCCGTTCAAGAGGGTACACACACACACAGACACACACAGGCACACAAAGATCCCCCGTATAGCCTTAACAGACTGTAGGGGCAAGTGCTGTTAGCGAGCACCTATGAAGGCCGGCACGGCACACGAGGGGGTGGGTGGCCAACACCACGCCCGGCCGCCTTTGTCTCCCTAATGACGATGTTTACACATCACACCAGGTACTCATTTGAGGCTGAGTCGACCTAGTGGAGGCCCAGGGCCGGTTCAGATAATCGTCACTGATGTTGGCCGTGAGCGGGAATCGAATCCGGGTCGCCAGGTGTGTAGCACAGCGCGCTAACCGCGACACTACCGCTCCCCACACAGACACACACACAGACATACACACGTGTACGCGAAAGAAGTTCAACGTACATACATAGACTCACAACAGAGACCCATAGACTCACACACAGACCCATCGACTCACACAGAGACCCATAGACTCACACATAGACTCATAGACCCACACAGAGACTCATAGACTCACACACAGACCCATAGATTCACACAGAGACCCATCGACTCACACAGAGACCCATAGACTCACACACAGACCCATAGATTCACACAGAGACCCATCGACTCACACAGAGACCCATAGACTCACACAGAGACCCATAGACTCACACAGAGACCCATAGACTCACACAGAGACCCATAGATTCACACAGAGACCCATAGATTCACACAGAGACTCATAGACTCACACAGAGACCCATAGACTCACACAGAGACCCATAGACTCACACAGAGACCCATAGATTCACACAGAGACTCATAGACTCACACAGAAACCCATCGTACGGTGTACGTAGGCACACGTCATTAGAGGTGAATCGTTAAAACACGGTGCTAGTTGGACGCAGTATTACGCCAATTGCCAGGCGTTAGAGCCATGAATGTGAATCAAGAGAATACAACCTTCGAGTGGATGACAAACGATTGCGAGAACCAGATGCTTCCACGACCAAATAACCGATGGCGTGAAGCTAAGAACATATCAATGTGGTTAGTGTGTGGGGATTTAAACGCCCCATAAATGTGGTATTTGAATTCAGACTCGGTCTAGTATGGACTTTGTAATCAATACCTGCATATTTGAAGTCAGACTCGGACTAGTATGGAATTTTGGAGACTTTGGAGTCCATACGTAGATGTTTGATACTGGTAGGAACCTCCTGGTTACACAGCCCACAGGGGATTATTGTGTCCGTCCGTCCGTCATGAATCCAAAAATGGGAGGGGTGGGGCTGGGTGGAGAGGGGAGGGTGGGGAGGGGCTGGTCACCCCGTGGTGCCCTTATAAAACTCAATGTTTAACCTACTCACGCCGGCTTGTGCCTGCCCTCACAGTCGGTCATATTTGCGGAATACACCACGCCGCCGTTGACCCTGGCCATTGACCGAGCAACCCAACGTTCCTACCAGCTCCCTCCGCATGAATGTGTTTAACTGTGGACAACACGACTCACACTCGACGTGAGACGTTTAGAGTTACGGCTTCTCACCGCCAAACGCTGCCATGCTGTCAACATGGGCGGCTGGCCGAACACGTCGTGTTTTGTTTACGAGTTGGTTTTATTTTTTTTCCCCGTAAGTAGAGGATTTTGAAACCGAGCGGCTATCAACCAAGTCGCTGCCCACCCCACCGACTCCCCCACTCCTAATCCGCGCTCTCATCAGCGCGCCTTCCGGTGTTGCTCAGTGCAGCGTGCCGCCCGGCGTCGCGAACCCACCACGCCTTGCAGTGCAGCGACACACGCATTACGAGCAGAACTCACGTGTTCACACCCTTGTCGCCTCCAGGCGTCGACAACCGAGCCTCTGATCGGGAGCTTGACGCGGGCAGCAGCAGCAGCAGGCAGCCTGCCTGCTGCACGTTGCCGGCAGAGCGCAGGCAGCTGCAGCAGGAGTCGTCGTACCGTGCTGGTTGCGACGTCCGGCGATTACGAAACCGCACTGCGCGTGTGGTGAAGTATGGTGAAACGGCGGCCACGACGTGGAAAGGCTGCAACAAAGACAAAGATCTCCAGGATAGCCTGTAACAGGCTGTTGGGGCAAGTGCTGTTAGCGAGCACCTATGAAGGCCGGCACGGCACACGAGGGGGTGGGTGGCCAGCACCACGCCCGACCGCCTTTGTCTCCCCCAGTGGCGATGTTTACACACCGCACCAGGTACTCATTTGAGGCTGAGTCGACCTCGGGGACGTCCAGGACCGGTTCAGATAATCGTCACTGGTGTTGATGGCCGTGAGCGGGAATCGAACCTGGGTCCTCGGGTTCGTAGCGCCGACCACTGCACCACCACTCCAAGCACACGTCCACAAATACTGTGCAGGTGAGTGGTGCAGGTGAGTGGTGCAGGTGAGAGGTGCAGGTGAGTGGTGCAGGTGAGTGGTGCAGGTGAGAGGTGCAGGTGAGTGGTGCAGGTGAGTGGTGCAGGTGAGTGGTGCAGGTGAGAGGTGCAGGTGAGTGGTGCAGGTGAGTGGTGCAGGTGGGTGGTGCAGGTGAGAGGTGCAGGTGAGTGGTGCAGGTGCGTGGTGCAGGTGAGTGTGGCAAGTAGAGACAATTACAGCGCACCACGTGCACTGATCACCGCGCATTTGTCGAGAGTGAAAACTGATTTATGTCTTAGTGCTTCTTGTGTTCTTCCCCCCGCACCTCCCATTAGCGCGCTTGGCTACGTACGGTGCGAAAGAAGTTTAACATACGCACACACATGTTGGGCGAACCGGTGAAGCATATATGTACACGCAAATTAATTAGGATAAAAAACACTAGAAATGCGTTGGCAGTGGGGTACAAATAGGCAAATATTAAATACTCACGACCTGTAATTGACTGAGAGCATCTTAACACTTAGAGAATTGCAGAGCAATCGTTGGCGCTGCCTCTCCACCTGGCAGACTTCCAGCATTGGTGTGCGGTTCTTACTCAGCGATTGTGATCTGCAGTTTGCATGAACTATGCAACGTGAAATTAATAATTTGATTACATCATATGAAAAAAAAATCTCACTTCGCTTCATGATTAACACTGCCTTTGTACCATTTATAGAGAACGCTGCAATAGGCTGGCGTTTCGAGTGACAACCCTTTGCCGTGGTGACTCTGCACGGTAACTATAAATGTGTTCAGCCGCAGGAAGGCTTTGTGCTCTGTCATTGGCGGCGGTGCTGGGTGACCAACTGGGGACAGAGTTGGCAGTGGCGGCCCGCGGGGCCGTGCTCGTGAACACACAGACGGCGCCGTTTGTTGCACCCGCCCTGTCGTGCGTAACAAACCCACAAGTGTTGAGCCTCGCGTGTCACTTCCTCCACGAACCGGCCCAATGACCCACACACAGTCGCGCTCTCTTATTGCAGCAACCCCGGACTTGGACGGCACGACACCCAGCCCGCCCGCCCGCCTTTCTGCGGCCCACACGCACGGCGGGCCCCACGCCACGGCGACACATTCAACACGCCACGGCCATCCCATTGCCGAGGTGCTGTCACCCGCTCGCTGCATGCTGGGGGCGGCGGGGGCGATGGGGGGGGGGGCAAAACAATAAAATGTGTGCGACGTGTGTGGCTGGGCTTGCCGGGCAAGTGTCTGGAGGAGGAGGCCAGCGACCGGCGTGGCGGGTTGGTGGGTCACGCAGCGAAGGAGCCCGCGGGACTTGTCGTACGCTGGCACGTGGTTCACCGGGTCACGAGACAGCGGTTCGGCGCTGTTTTAATAAGAAGCTTTACACTGAACAATGTTTTTATTTAATTTTACGGGATAAGGCCCACTGGGCTATACAGTATAGCTCTGTTTCAGAGGCGACCTGGCCACAAATGATAGCTCAACGAAGTGGCTGATCGCGTGGAAATTTAGAACGACCAAATCGCTCTAAACGCACGTTTCTAAATGTAGAGGGGGGGGGGGGGGAGAGAAACACAAACTCCAAATATACAGCAAGCGTCAGAGTTGGGATCGAACCCGCGACCTCCTGCATACCCGGCGACGTGGTTAACATCTCGCCACGCTCACGGCCAACACCAGCGATGATGATCTGTCTTAAGTGCCTGGTGCGGTGTGTAAACATCGCCACTGGGGAGACAAAGGCGGCCGGGCGTGGTGCTGCTAACCGAACCCTTCGTGGGCTGTGCAGGCCTCTACTCGCTAACAGCACTTGCCCCAACAGTCTGTCAAGGCTGCACGGGAAATCTTTATCTTTGCTTGTGGACATCATGTGGCTTTTTCTGTGCGGCGATTTCACGTCGGCTTTATTCCAATCGAATTGGGCTGTTTTAGACCTTCCCCTCCTCCAGCCCACTTCACACGCGTCTATACACCGCACACATATCCTGTATATACATATACACATTCGTGTGTATATATTCATATTCGCAAAATACATTAGCCAAACATTGGGATAGACGTCACAATGGGTCGGCATCAAGAGCATACATTTAGCCCTTCCCCCAAAAGGCCAACAGACTAAATCTGCAGCTCTTTGCCGCCCGGGGCCCGATGTGAGCGGACGGTGATTAAGTTTGTTGAACAGCCGGGGAATGTAGCGGTTGGGTGAGAGCATCACTCGGAGCGCACCGCGCAACTCCTCAACAAGGAGATGAAGAATCCCTCGGAAGCTGAGACACAGGTGAGAGTGGGCGGAGCCCCAGGTGAGAGTGGGCGGAGCCCCAGGTGAGAGTGGGCGGTGCCCCAGGTGAGAGTGGGCGGTGCCCCAGGTGAGAGTGGGCGGAGCCCCAGGTGAGAGTGGGCGGTGCCCCAGGTGAGAGTGGGCGGAGCCCCAGGTGAGTAGTGGGCGGTGACCCAGGTGAGAGTGGGCGGAGCCCCAGGTGACAATCTCTGACACCAATCAAACCTTAATTGTGGCTCTCATTCTGTGAAAGGAATCGAAACCGTGTTTGGAATCGACGCGCGAGAGAATCCGTGCATCGAGGGAATCGCTGTCGCCGCTGCAGCAGCAGCAGCTGAGGCCGCCCTTCAACTAAGCGCGGGAAAGTCCGCGGCGCGCTGCTCGCTCCTCCCAACTCCGCGTTATGGCAACGGCGGCTGCGGCGGCGGCGGCGATGTCCTCCGCGGCGTCGGAGCGCTGCTACCGAGAGGCGGCGGCCTTCGGGCGGGGACGGGAGGCCGCGGCGGGGCCCGAGATCCGCGTGGAGCTGGGTAGGCCGCGCCGGCACACGGGCCCTAGCCGCTTGCCTAGTTGATTCCTGTCCCGGACGGCGCGGGGCTGGCCCGGCCGCGCCGCTAGCCGAGACGTGGGTGTCTCCGAGCTGCGGGTTGTGATTTTTCTGGCGTTATTTGAATTAAAAACGTGGCACGTGTTGCGTTTGTTTTCAACCAAAGCGTGACATATTTTACCAGAACTCTAATAATTGACTGGCCTTGTGTCTGATTAAGGGGGTGGTGGTGGTGCAGTGCACAGCACGCTACGCTACGAACCTCAGTGAGCCCAAGTTCCATTCCCACATGCAGCTACCGTCCCATTTCACGGCCGAAAGTTGTAGCGATGCCTTTATCCAGCAGTGGATAACGGGGTACACATTACAAAGTTGCATTGAGCTGGTTATCAAGTGCGACTTTACACACGTGTGTGTGTGTACAGTATATTTCGTTACACGTGTTGTGCACACTTCACAAATGTACACTTTCAGTCTGGGAACTGACTCGTTTGATTTAACAGCAGTGTTCTCCAAGTTACTTGTCAAATCCACTGCTAGATGAAAGCATTGCCGCGTTGCGTGGGGCCGTGGTGGCGTGACGGAACGTGAACACGCTGACGGAGGGACCCCCGATCGCTTCACTTTTGTCGTTATCGCCGTTCGCTTTGACCGGGAATCAAACTCTGGTGGCCGGGTTCACAGCGCAGTGCGTGATGTGATGCAGCACTCCTCAAATAAGTGACAGTGCAAGTTTCAGTCCGTCTCGCCAGGGTTTATTTAACCACTCTGTCCGTCATCGCCGTGCTCTGTAAGACGAGCACCGACACAGTTAACCGGACCACTTGGCTTCAACAGAGATTGTCCTGTCGATGGAACGTGGAACTTCAACAACTAATTAAAGCGCGCCAGTTGAGATGAGAACCTCCCTATGCGCGCACGAGCACGGTGGCACCATCATTTAGAAGTGGCGTGCACGATTTTCTCGTGTTTTATTTAAAATATCACATTTCAAGCGGAAAATGTCATCTCAAGTTGAACCTAAATAAAAGTGATGAAGCTCAAGCCTTGTAATGCATTCTAGATTTGAAGCTTTCGTGACTGCAAGGATTCATAATCTTAGGTTGTTTCGGTAAAGTCACGTAGGTAAAAAAATAATAAGAATAACATTTTTTAAATAATAATAGAAATAAATGCATGTTTGTGTTTTTTTTAATAACAGAATCTCAATCGGTCGCCGCATTGCTGGAAACTTGAACGCGTTCAGTTCAGGCGGATGCTTTCAACTTTGCCCCATATTTCATGAAAACGTAAATCACGATTCGGAAATTCAGGCTGCTCAATAATGCCTAACAACGTGGGGATTGTCTGCTTGTTTTTCATGCGTGCGTGCGTGCGTGATTTCTGCGTGTCAATGCAGGCTTGCCACCTCTCCCAGGAGGGGCAGGGTATCAGGATTGGGCAGGCGGCTTCTGCTACGAGGAGAGCGCCAAACTTCAATCCTCGACGAGAAACCGCTTTATACACTGGTCTGTACCCCTGCTATATGAAGCATAATTGTTACCAAGTTGAATGACAGAAAATAAAGAAAACTCGGGTTTTTTCTAAAACAATGCAAATTTAATAGCATTTGAACTTGGGAGCCTCCTTGTCCTGTCATACCCTTCACTTGTCTGACCTGAGCCTCATGACGCTTTATATACTTTCATTTTATATCGTGTAACTCGTGCCACAACGCTGTACATTAATTATACTCATGGACCAAATCCCATAT